TTTCTTCTGCAACAATGATTTGCTGGTTTGCATGGTTATTACTTTTCCAACTTGTTCCACACCCTTCTTGGAGGGCTGGTGCAATTCCAGAATTTTCCCGTGCTGGGGCAGCCTTCTTTACGGGTCCCACTTAGTCTTCCAGTGTTCGGTGGAGACACTGCGCCGTGGACACAAAACCCAAAGAAAAGGGTCAGAAACTGTCCGTCTCCCCGGCAAGCCTCAGACCTTCCTCGGCCTGTCGCTTCCGGAGTAGCGTAGCGGTTCAGTCAAGTGACCAGCAGCACCTGCTCCAGAAGTTCTTCGCGGCGCCCCAAGCATGGCGGGGGGGGGGGGGGTGGGACGGGCGTGTCCCCAGGAGGGATGAAGCACCGAGCCCACCGCGGTCCTGGATCCACAGCTGGGGCGGCGCGCCCCCTGCTGGAGGCCGGCGGCGCTGTCGGGCCGCGGCGCAGAGACCGGCGGGGGCCCGGTTGTCCCAGGAATATCCTTTACAGCAAAACGACCCAGTTCAGAATCCCCGGTGGCATTTGGTTGCCACGTCTCTTTAGTCTCTTATGTCTGGAAGAGCTCCTCGGTCTCTCCTTGACGTGACCTGGGCACTTTTGAAGGTTCGCGCCTGTTATTTTGCAGCTGTCCCTCTGTTTGGGTTTGTCCGATGTTTCGTCGGGACTAGATGCAGGATATGCGGAAATATCAACAAGAGGTAGTGCTTTTTTTTCTCACTGCCTCTGTGAGGTGACACACGATTTCAATTTGACCCATCGCTGAGGAGGTTTCTCTAATCACTTGATCAAGGCAGCGTCTGCCAGGCCCCTCCACTGTGAAGTCATTCTCCACTCCTACCCCGACCCTCCCGGCTACGCTCGGCACCCTGCCTTGGCTCCAGGCCAACCCAGAGTGGACACCCCTCCACCAGCTAGAGCTCTGACACCCACTCTGGGCACTCCCCTTCCACCTAATGGCTTTAGGACTGAAGTTCAGGAAGAGGAAGGAGGGAAATGGAAAGAGAAAGAGCTTCCCTTCACTTTTCGAAGTTAACAATAGTGATTAAAAGTAATAACTGCGAACACTACTGAACACACGGTGCCAGGCACAGTCTGAGCACTTTAAGTACTAACTCATTTACTTTTCATAACTACCTATGAGATACATATGCCATTAGCCCCATTTCAGAAGCAGAACTAAAACACCGCCAGGGGTACACAGCCAGAAGCTGGCAGAACCAGGATTTAAAGTCTGGCTCTAGAAAAAGTGCCTTTAACCAACCCTGTCCAGTCCACTTCCGCCCCCTACACCCGTCCACAGAAATTGCTCTTGCTTTGGCTCCCTGTGACGTCCATGTTCCCAAATCCAATGGACAGGCGCCAGTCCTCATCTGTCAGCGGTTGGCCACTCCCTTTTGGAAGGATCTTCTCTCGGTTTCCACGACACGGGATGGTTGCTTTCCTCCTGCTGCTCTGACCACTCTTTCCCAGTCTCTCTTGCCAGCTCCTACTTCTCTCTCTTCCTCTTGGGATTTGAATTGCTCAGGGCTTTGGCTCGAGCTCGCTTCTCCTCTCATTCTATTTTCACGTGTATCCCATGTCTTTGAGTATCACTCGTGTGCTGACAACATCCATATTTATCTTTCTAGCCATGCCTGTCTTTGAGCTTCCAAACTCATATCCAGCTGCCTACTTGGCATATCTGCTTGGTTTTCTCTCTCCAAGTCATTGTGAACTCAACAGGTCCAAACTGAGCTATTAATCTTCCTTCCTTAAACCCGCACCTCCCTTCGTTTACCCCAAATGAGTAAAAATGTCATCACTACCCAGCCAGCAGCTTGTGGCAGAAGCCAGAGAGCCATCACTGAGTCTCCTCACTGCTCCTGCCACCCTCCGCCATTCAACCCACAGCTACACTTCATTGCTTCGTCTTCCTGCACATGTCTTGAAGGCTGTCCATTTTGCTTCACTCTTCCGCTGCGTTGCAAGCCACCATCACCTCTTTCCTGCACTCCTGCAACATTCTCCACTTAGTCTCCTGCTTCCTTCCTGCCACCCTCTTATCCCTTCTCCACACAGCAGTCAGGGATCTTGGAAACACACAATCCAATCACATTCGTGCACTGCGGAGAATCCTTGGTGGCTTCACAGCGGGCTTAGAATGAAACAGAGTCCTCCCATCCACACCTTGGCTTATAGGCCCAGCATGATGGGACCTAGGCCTGCTGATCCAACTTTATCTCCTGCCGCTATCGCCCTTGCCTGCCATGCTCCAATCACATAATTGTTTCCCTGATGAAACTTCCTGCCTCAGGGCCTTTGAGTATGTGGTTTACTCCCACTTGTTTATCTGCTTAACTGCATAATCATCCTTCAAATCTCAATGCAATTGTAGGACCCCAGGTAAAACTGGTCCACTCTCCCCTCCCTGACATAAATCTGGTTCCCTCCTTTCTCTGTCTCATAGGGCTGATCACATGTTGGTTTAATAACATGTTGGGTTGCCATTGGGCTCTGGCCTCAGCTCTCTTCTCTCTATATTTTTATTCCCTAGGTCAGTGGTTCTCAACTGGGGAGTTGGGGGGTGGGGCAGGGGATGATTTTGTTCCCTAGGGGACATTTGGTAATGTCTGGAGACATTTTTGGTTGTCACAACTAGGAGTGGGAGTGTGCTACTGGCATCTAGTGGGTAGAGGCCATGGATGCTGCTAAAATCCTATAAGGCACAGGACAGCCTCCGCAACAAAGAATTACCCTGCCTGAAAATGTCAGTAGTGGGGAGGCTGAGAAACTGTGCCCCAGAGCATCTCATGGTCCCTCATGGTTTTAAATACCATCTATGTGCTGGCAACTGCCAAATTTCTCTCTCTATCCCAGACTCATCCTGACTGCCTACTTGACATCTCACCTGGATGTCTCATAGCACATCAAACTCAACATGTCTAAAACCCAACTCCTCCTTTCCCTGCTACTCGACCTTCTAAATGCTCAGGCTAAAATACTGGAGGCATTCTTGACTTCTTTCTCTCATAGTCCCCATCCAATGCATCCATAAGTCCTTTCAGCAATTTACTGAATGCAGACCCAGAATTGACCACCTCCCACCAGTTCACTGCTACCACCAAGGTCTCCTGCACCATCTCTAACCTCAAACGGGTCTCCTACACGATCTCTCAGTCAGACTGGTCTCCTGCACCATGTCTCAACTGAGACTGGTCTCCTGCACCTCTTCTCACCTCGGAATGGTCTCCTGCACAATGTCTCACTTGGACAGTTCTCCTGCACCATTTCTGACCTCAGAGTCATCTCCTGCACCTCGTCTCACCTCGGACTGGTCTCCTGCACTTCGTCTCACCTCAGACTCGTCTCCTGCACCTTGTCTCACCTCGGAATGCTCTCCTGAACCTTGTTTCACCTCAGAACGGGTCTTGTTCAGCATGTCTCACCTTGGACTGGTCTCCTGCACCTTGTCTCACCTCAGACTCGTCTCCTGCACCATGTCTCACCTCGGATTGCTCTCCTGCACCTCGTCTCACCTCTGATTTGTCTCCTGCACCACGTCTCACCTCAGACTGGTGTCCTACACCATATCTCACCTCAGACTCATCTCCGGCACCATGTCTCTTGCACCATGTCTCACCTCGGACTGGTCTCCTGCACCATGTGTCACCTCGGACTCGTCTCCTGCTCTTCGTGTCCCCTCAGAACTGGTCTCCTGCACCATGTGTCACCTCAGACTCGTCTCCTGCACTTCCTTTCACCTCAGAACTGGTCTCCTGCACTTTGTCTCACCCCAGAACTGGTCTCACTGTTGCTGACCTCAGCCCTCTACGCTCTATTCTCAACTCAGCATCCGAATTGATTTCTTAAAAATGTAAATAGACCATATCACTCCTATACCCCAAACCCTCCAATCATTTCCCATATTTTGGAGATAAAACCAAAGTTCTTACACATTCTGGCCCTTCAGTGACCTTCCTGACTAAACTCCTACTACTCTCCCTTTTACTCACTTTGCTCCATCCACACTAGCCTCTTTGTTCTTCAGACACACCAAGTATCCTAATACCTCAGGGCCTTTGCACTGGCTGTTCTGTCCTGCTAGAACATTTACCCTTCAGATAGCTGCACAGCTTTGCTTGGTCACTTCCTGTGGGTCTCTGTATAAAAGGCACCTTCCCAGTGAAGCCTTTCCTGACCACCCTATATGCACTCCCTAGCCTTCTTATCCTATTCTGTTTTTGTCCCCAGGACGCATCACCATCTGACATACTACACACTGGCTTCTTTATCTGTTAGTGACCTAGAATGTAAGCAGAGAATACATCTGTGCCACTGTCATATACCCTAGGCCCAACACAGTGCTTGGCACAGAGAGGAGACAAATTTGTTCAGAGAATGAATGAATATTACCTCCACTTTACAGATGAAACACTGGGGCTCAGAGGCTTTGAGTAACTCACGCATGTGAAGCTCACAGAGCCATGGTTCTCCCCTCCCCCAGACCTGTGGACTACCGCCTGCTTCCTCCCCCAAAGGAAGGGGAAGGAAGTTCAGGAGCGAGGATATGGTGGTTTGGGGAGGGGAGTGGGGTTTAGTTTCTGATGAGAAGGGACCTATAACTACAGGAGATCCTGAATTTTTGAGGAGGACAGATGTCTGAATGGGCAGAGGCCTCCTGAGTCCACCTTTGCAGCATCCCAGGTCTAAGACCCTGAATGGAAAAGGGACTAGCTTGAGTGCTGAACTTGCCAGTCCTCCCCAGGCACCAGCCTCTGCCACCTAGGGGTCCTGAGCAACCCCCCACCCACTGGAAGGCAGGGGAGCCACACCCAGCCCTGGCCCCAGCCCTGACCCTGCTGGCTCACAACACAGCAGCTCCCTGACATTGGCTCCAGAGGTTGCCTTGTGGGTTCCCCAGAGAGAGATCCCAGCTGGGAGGGGTCATCTCCACCCCACCCCAGCCTGGATACCCCCTTCCAGCCCAGCCCCCTTGAGCACAGGCTGCGCACTCACTCTGCCATTCGGTGATGGAGATCATGCTGTAGGCTGCCTGGGGCGCCTTCTGGGTGGGAGCTGGCAAGGGGTGAGGAGCAGAAAGGACCGAACTCACGCATGTCAAGGGAAGCTGACCCTTGGTAAGTTGTGAAACGAGTGTGTGGTAAATCATTAACTCCCCTGACACAAATGGCTGCTGAAAGTCGCAGGCACTCTTCTCCTGGTTCTCCCCGGAGGGCACTGCCCCCTCCTGCTCTGCCCCCCTGGAGACGGCAAGGCCCACCTGCCTCTCTTATCGCCCACCCTCCATGCCTGGAGGCTGAGTCCCAGGCATCTGGGACTTCCATCTGCTCTGCAAAGTGTGGACTGTGTGTGGAAGAACGGGGAGGCAACGAACCCGGGCTCCTCACTTGGTTTGGTGGAGGGCGTGGGAAGAGTTGGACTCATGTTTCTCTTTGAAAAAGTACTAAATTCACCCTGTAAGTCAAGTTGGCTTACTTTGTGCTCTTACCCATGCTGGACGCTAGGGGGTGACAAGTAACTGAGAAAACTTGTTGCTAACAATCCCCTGGGAGAGCCAGATTCCTTAAATCAGGGGCAGGAGTGCCCCAGGGGAGTTAGACACGAGGGCTTCAACTCCTTTCCCAGCAATGTCAGCTTTGAACTGCGAGGTTGAGCTCCGGGAGACGAAAGATGAACTTGGGCTTAGGGGAGGGCCGGACGATTCAGGAAGCCTGGTCCGCGTCCACTCGGTAGCTACGGAGCCGTGGGCGCATCCTTTCTCCCTCTGTGGGCCCGAACAAAGAGGCAGACAAGTTCCTCACACCCTTTCTCCCACTGTGGAGTGTGGTTCTCAGCCCCCTTAGAGCCAGCGTCCCCTTTGTAATGTCCCCTCTACCTTGAAATGCAGTTCACAGATGCTATGGCCATTCTACATACATCATTTTGAAAAAGGCAAATAAAGCTAATTATAATAAAGAAGAAAAAAAAAGAATAATTTATAATAAAACACGATGTCTCTCAATATATAAATGCTCAGGCAATAGCATCCAAGAACACGTGGATGAAATAGGCAGATTGCTTGCACCTATTTGAATTTAAGAGAAATAATAGACCAGAGCATTATATACAAAACAAACAAACAAACAAAAAATACCACCACCAACCCCCCACCCCCGAGAATGAAAGAGCAGTAGAGAGTAAACACTAGAATAAAAACTGTTAGGTAAGTCATGACAGATTAGCCGTACTTGTGCATAAAAAGAGACAGGGGGAGAACACCTTAGTTGAAGTAGGGATAACAAGCAAGGCAAATTAGCCATGGCGACAGGGAGCCAGCGAGCAGGCGCCACGTGGTGCAGAGGCGCCACTGCTGAAGTAGTGCCGGGTGTCAGGGCTTGGGAGAGGGGGCACGCATCACAGACCCAGTGGTCTCCATCTTGACGCCATCGTGTGGTGAGGTAAAATTCAGCGGTGGGATGGATCTTCCGAGGCCTTGGGGACCGTACATTTCCAACAGGCACTGGGGACTAGAGGAGGGGCTGGAAAGAGCAATGGTCACATAAGCGGTTTAGGGCAATGGCGTGTGGACCCCGGGGCAGTATTGGAGGAAGATAGACAAACAACAGGCAACGCCCCAAACGTTTCCACATGGAATCGTTACAACATCGTGCTCAACCTTGGGCTGCAAATGTAAAGGATGGAAAAGATAAGGATGGCGATGATGTGAAGTCCTTGCTAAAAGCACTTGTTGAGGAGATCCAGTGAGAGGCCTGCGTTTTAAGCATCTTTGCTTTGATGGTGTCTGGGGCTCTCAGATCTCCTCAGGTAAATATCTGCAGTCAGTCTCTTTGCTTATTCCCTAAGACTCCATTGGAACCACTTGCAACCAAATCCACAGTAGTTGAAATGGTATAATCCATTGTGTAGACAATGCCTGGAGTAGATCATTCAACAATTTTGAGACATTGTCTTTATTCCATTTAAATTTCTTCTCCATAATAACCATCTCCTAACTTACTGAGTTATTCATGAAACATTAAAAAAATACTTAGAAGCTTATAAAAACTTTTTAGTACTATTATGAATTGCAGTATGACCGACTTAGTAATACTGGTAGTGGGTTTAGTCCAGTAGTACATTTTAAGGTCGTGCAGGATAGAGGACAGTTATTTTGGAAATCTTCCCTGTGCACTGCAGCAACTAAACACCAGGAAGAGTTTTGCCCCCTCATCACTGAGATAACCCAAGATCCCCCACAAATTTCCAAAATCCCCCTAGGGGCCGGTGTCACCCCACTGAAGCCCACCTGTGGGTTAAGAGCTTGTCAGAGCCCTGGGCTTCATTCATCCCAGCCATGTGAAACCTTAGACATTCATTTACCCTCTCTGTTCCTCAGTTCCTTGGGTAATAACAGCATCTATGACACAGAGATATATTGAGCAGTAGTGAGTAAATACATGTGAAGTGCATAGAACTGAGTCCCTGGCACATGGTAAACGCTTGATGAGCCTTTGTTATTACTATTCTAGGATAGTTATGACAAGTACTATTGTTATTAATATCACTATTATTAGTATGCTGTTATATGAAAGACTTCTGCTCTCATCTTAAATTGTGCTTCCACAGGTCTCATACACCTATAGCAGCTAAGAATACCTCCCCCAGCCATGGAGCCTACCTGTGAGCTCAGGAGAACTGAACTCTCCTGAAACTGGGCCCTCCTGGCCTGGTTCTCTGATGGCAGTGCTGGGTTCTGGAGTTGGGCTCAGAGGGGCTTGTCCACAGCCCACCTCCCTGGAGAGGAGCCCCTTTGTGGGGGCCACCCCAGGGAGGAGGATGTAGGCCCTGGAGGGCTGGGGCTGGGCCTCAGCCTGTGGCAGCCCATGGCCTGTCCACGGTGGGGAAGCGCTGGGGCAGTGCATTACTCCCTAGCACTGGAGGAATAGACGTGGGCAAGGGAAGGACGCCTCAGAGGGCAGAATGGCTGGGGCCCTGGCGACATCTCCCAGCAAAGGCCGTGCAGCCAGCAAAGTGGGGGACCTTGGGAAATACTTTCCCACTTCCCTCATCATGCCCCTGAAGGTGGCTGAGGGGCCTACCTGATGTCACTCACCACCTCCTCACACTTGTAAATGAATTTGAGTTTTCAAATCTACGCCCAGTGGTGCTGTGCTCTCACATCCACCTCCTCTCCGAGCTGCTGGCTCTGACCCGGTGTTTTTCATCCGTTTTCTCATTTGACTTTCTTGCGAGCTCCATAAGATGGCCGTTGACATCCCCATTTCACAGATGAGGAAACTGAGACACAAGGATTTTAGTGAGTCTTCATGCAGCTGCAAGGAGCAGGGCCAGGAGCTGAGCATGACACATCACCTTCTCTCCCCTCAGTCTCAGCGCTGAGGGGACCCAGTTCTGCAGTGGGGACTCGGGGACAAGGCGGGTGGTGTGGCCCCAGGTCCCTGGCCGCAGCAGGGTCTGAAGCCTGGCTGCCCACCTGGCCCTGTCGTGCCTCTCTTCAACAGTACATGAATGATCCTGCAATTACAGCACCACTGCTTACAGGGCATTCTGCTCACTCTGCTCTTCCGTTTACGTTTCCTGACTACTGCCCCTTGTATAGCCCTAGCCTGGCTTGATCAGGGGGCTGCTCTGGGCCCGGAGGTGGAGCAGGCAGGGACCTGCAGTGTCTTCCTTGGAGAGGAGCCAGCCTTTGTTCCTGGGGACAGTGACGCCCAGCGGTGCTCTGTGCTCTCACATCCACCTCCTCTCCAAGCCGCTGGCTCTGGCCCACAGGGGCTGCAGATGGAGCGGCAGGCCCCGGACGTCGACAAGTTCTCCCACCCACCTCCTCCAGCCCCAAAGGCCTCTGTCTTGAGCCTGCATCTGGTCCCATCCCTCCCTCATTCACAAAGGACATCAGGGTATATAGCTCTCCCAGGGGTCATAAAATCCAAAATATAGTCACCTTATTTGTAAAAAAAAAAAAAAAAAAAAATGAGCACACACTCTCCTAGCCCTTTAGGGGTGAGAATAGGTGTTTAGAATTCAAAATCACCATTAGAGCCAGACTGAGGCAAATCAGGAATTAGAAGCAGCTGGCCACCCCATCTCCTCTTGCGCAATTTTCTTCTCTTCCCCGAACCACTAATGCCTCCATTTCTCCCCAGACATCCTACGGAAGCCCAGCTGGGGCCTGCCACTATCCTGCCTCACTTTCTGTCTCTACTCCCCATCCTGTAGAATTTACAGGGCTTCTTACTTTTATTCTTCACAGAAAGATTTCAGGGGTCGGCCCCGTGGCGTAGTGGTTAAGTGCGCGCGCTCAGCTGCTGGCGGCCTGGGTTCGGATCCCGGGCGCACATTGATGCACCGCTTGTCAGCCCATGCTGTGGAGGCGTCCCATATAAAGTGGAAGAAGACGGGCACGGATGTTAGCCCAGGGCCAATCTTCCTCAGCAAAAAGAGGAGGATTGGCATGGATGTTAGCTCAGGGCTGATCATCCTCACACACACACACACAAAACAAATGAAAAAAAAACAAAGATTTCAAATGAAGAAGCTCTGGTAAAGTCCTTCACACTGAGTGTCAATAACTGATAACCACTGAGTACCTGCCAAGAGAAATAAACCCAAGGCATTGAGGCTGGATGAGAAGAATTTGGGTGGCCTTTTTGATAACCTCCCTCAATCATGCACCTTCTTGTACCCTAAAGCAGAAATACAGGGCATGGTGTAGCAGCAGAGAGAGGCTGGGAATTATTTTTCTTCCCCTATAGTCCTACCCTCAGTCTCAGGGACAAATCAAGGGAAAGTTTCCAGGGCCTGAAACATCTAATGCTCCCATCACATGGGACCTTGGACAAGCCTTGATCTGGGGTGACCTGGACTGAAAAGACGACCGTGGTGTTGGCAGCACACCATCACCCCCGGCTCATGGGGTGGAGCACTCTTCTGAGAACTCTGGGTTTCCTGCCGGGGAGGGAGGCGAGCAGAGCAGCCCGAGGCATGGGGGAAGGGGTGGTACATATGCCTTGAACCCAGCTTTGCTCTTAGTGAGGCAGACCGGCCCCAGACACCCCTCCCCTTTTCTGCCAAGCCAGTAAATTGCCACGGACCCTGAGGCCAGCCACAGACAGACAGGGACACTGCGCGAGGGGCACACCACTTGTACAAACCATTTTATTTCCTGTATGGGGTTTATACAAACTTGCAAGATACAAATGCAGAGCTCACTGGGATTCTTCAGGTCCTATGTCTAAAAAGAATGCTGCTGAGAAGGGAAGCAAGCTCTCACCTGTCAGTCGGGACACCCCCTCCCCGGGGAGGGGGCTCATTTTCTAGAAGGATGCGAAGGGGCTGCTACAGTTGTTTGGTCCCCTGACACAGATGCCCTCTGTTTACCTAACCTTAACTCTTCTCCTAAGGTCACTTTTATACTAAATAAAGACACTGAGATCATACATTTCCTTGTATGGTTTATTGTCTAATACTAGCAAATCAAATTGGCCCCAATATGTGCATAAATAGATATATGTATATATACGTATATTTCATATTTTTCCTTATTTTAAGAGCTGCCTGGTGGGGGGGTGCCTAATGGGGAAAGGAACTGATTCCATCTTGCTATAGTCAGCCCTGCCCAAGAACATGCCTCTCACTCAGGCAGGAGAGCACGTGAGCTCAGCTCATGACCTCACAAAATCTTTAAAGTGACAGTACCAGCATTTGATTACAGCCTCTTGGTTATTGGTCAGGGAGGTAATGTGCTAATTGGGAAGGCCCTAGATTAGTAACCACAGCTGTCCCCAGGTGGGTTACTCAGCCCTGGGCCTCCATCTGGGCCCCATTCATAGTAAGATGCTCTAGGCTGGGAATAGGGTACCAGTAAATGACAAAATTGGGAGATCAGCCTTCAAATGCTGGCTAGGAGCTCTGGGCTAGATTCCAAAACCCTTGAGTCCAGATCTGGACAAAAGACTTCCATTCTGCCCAAATCCTTGCAAGGCAAGAGCCCCTTGCCCGCATTGACTGTCGACAGGCAGTTTAAAAGGCTGAGCTGGCTTAGTTCAGCGCCCCAGCAGCAGGCAGCCTGCCAGAGGAAAATCCTGGGGGTTTCTTGGGCAAGGCTGAGATGCTACATTGTCCACAGGACCCTCCTTAGCCCACAAGCTGACTTCGCAATCTGGATGCCAGACTGAGGTACCGTCCCCATGATAACAGCCCCCAGAGGAAAGGTCACAGAGGGAGACACATGCCATAGATGTGACCCAGACCAGAGAGGGATCAAGTGGAAAAGAGGGTGAGAAGTCCTGGAACTCGAACGTGTCTGCGCTGAAGGACCCGTGATCCCAAACCGCTTCCATTGTCCTTTGCACCGTACCCCGGGTCCATCAGGAGTAGAATACTTGGTGCTGTTTAGCATAGGCTGCCATTAAACTGTACACCCTTTCCAGCAGGGTGATGAGGGGAGGTGGCCCAGGAGCACAGCTGGACGGGGGGTGGGGGGGTGCCTGCATGGGTGTACTTTTGTGCACACAACTGCAAACATTTCCTTCAAAAGGACTCATATCTCATCACCCTAGAGGGTTATCAAGGGTTGACAGTGTAATCAAATCCATAGACTGGCACTTCCAAGAGAATGTCCTGCCCTAGCAAGATGCTCTCCGGGTGAGCTTCTGGGGACCAGCCCTTTGCAGACAAGGAATGAGAGGAAGGAAGCTACAGAGGGAAGGGCATAGGGCTGGACCTAGAGGCAGCCACCCCAGTCTCCTCGTATTGTTTGCCAATTCCATTCAGACATTGCACATTTTGAAAATAGATTTGCTTTTATAACAAAAGCGTAAAATAGATCTGTCTTAAAATAAGTCTTTCCTCTCCCCTTCTTTGGATCAAAGGCATGGGGTATGGCCACAACATGCTAGGAATGGCTGGAAAGTCAAGGAGAGAAAACAGGCCTGGGCAGGAGTTCTCAGAACGAATCAGACAGCCAAACAAATATATATATGACACACATACCTGTAATCTGTGTACTCTCCATACAACATATATTAAGGCATGTAAAGCAACATAAAGAGCCAGCTTTATGAGAGAGGAGGTGAGAGAGGTGGCAGAGGGGCAGACATTAATCCTTGGTATTTTACATCTATTTCTAAAAACACCACTTAAAAAAAAGAACAGACAAAGAAAGGGGAAGGCATGGAAGGACCCCCAAAATTCATTTCTTGTGGATGGAGAAAGGTGTGGGGAAAGAGGAGGAGAGGGTTACCTGGGAGCCAATCCTACCTGCCAGTCTGTGGGGGAGAAAGGATAGGTGTGGGGGGCTTGAGCTGTGCTAAAGATGGGAAATGTAGCCAAGGGTCATGTTCAAAAAGTCTGCTAGAAGTGATGATAAGTGGAAGCCCCAGCCTGTAACCCCTTGGAAGCATGAGAATGTCCTAAGCACCTAGAACAGTGCCTGGTACATAAAAGGTGCTCGATAAATATTTGTTGAATGAACAGTCATCTTTACTTGCATATGAACCCACAACTGTCCCAGCCATGACGGAGTGGAGAAGAACTGGTGGAAGATAAACTAGTTGTTCTGGGAGCTGTGGGAGGTCAGGCTGAAGTATCCGGGCAGCAGCTCTGGCAGAGACGGCCTGGGGGCCAAGGGTTTTTCAGCTTCTCTCTCTCTCCTCCATCCTCTCTGGCTACATTTGTCTCAAGGTGGGTGGAGCGGAGGAAGAACGAGCTTTGCTTCTGTGTCTCCCCCATCGGCCTCCCTGGGTAGGTGGACTATGAGAGAGCCAAGCTAGAAGGGAGTCCCCCGGTACAGCCTCACCAGTCCTCATCTGGGAGGCCCCGGATGCTGGGTAGGGTCCCAGAATCTGGCCTCCGGATTAAGGCCACATTCCCTCTCCCTGGGGCACAGTCTCAGTTGGTCCATGGCACATCGAGGGGGAAGGGGGACAGGAAAATGTCACAAAAATGGGTTAGGAAAGGCCCCAAGGCTGACCACACCCTACATAAGACAGGTCCTTCTCTCTGCCCTTGACCCCAGGAGGGGGAGGCAGACACCAGGCCCCGACCTACAAAGAGCCATCTCTCTTCCAGGCTGTCCTACCCAAGCCCTTCCTCCCACACCTCCATCCCCATGCCAAGTGCCTCAGCTGAAGGCCACCATGTGCTTGCTGGTGGGTCCTCCTGGGGCCCCGCTGATGCAGGGGACAAGGTGGGAGGCACAGAGCTGACAGTCTGGCACTGCACTTGGCGCTAAGCTAAGGCTCCATCTGGGGAAACCAATCCCATAGCCCCTTCCCATCTCCCTCCTTTGACCTGCGAATGAGTCCTGCTGCTTCCCTTCCCTCCCACTTTCCTCAGACCTCTCCTCCTCTCTGCTACCCCTTCTCGACCTCCCCTCAGACACTGCACAGACCTGCTGCTCTCTATCCACAGCCAGCACTGCCCCTCTGGGAGCCGAGGAGCCTCTCCCCATCTCTCCTCATCTTGTCTTTGGCTCAAGCAGGGTGGTCAGTCTCCACCGGACCCCAAAAGAGCACCCATAACAGAGACGCGTCAAAGCCCTGGGTACAGCTGGGGTAGTGGGGTGGGGCTGATGGGGGAAGGGGATGATGGCAGGTGCTGTCCTCGGTGTCAAGAAGGGCGGGAAGAGGCAGAGTGTCCATCTTCTCTTCACCTCTAGTCCTAACCTAAGATGGCCCAGGGCGTGTTCCCCACCATGGCATCTTCTCCATCAGGGAATGTTCCACTGGGGCCACCACAACCCCAGCCAGAGCCAGGCCCAGGCTCCTTGTGACTTGGGTACTAGACAGGATGTGCTCCCCACCTCGCCATCTCAGGTGCTAGCCAGGGACCACCGTCTGAGTAGTGAGGGCTTCAGGCCGGGTGTGGCAGGTATGTGGATGCTGAGGGATCCGTGCTCCTCTCAGCAGCAACCACTGGCCCCTAGCCTAGCTCCCTGCGGCATTCCCATGGGAGCACAGGGGCAGGGGGCCAGGGTGGGAGCCAGGACCTCAGGCGGGCAGAAGAGGGCTTCAGAATGTGGCTCTGTGGAGCTTCACAGCATTAGCCTCAGCCAGGGCTTGCACTAAAGAAAAGAGAAATGGGGTGAGAACAGCACAGCACACAGGAGCAATGGCTTCAGCCAACTTTCCCCGGAGAGTAGGGTCTCCTCCTGTATAAACCCTGTGGAAACCTGCCCTCCCTCATCCCTGAGAGAGGGAGCAAAGGGACAAAAGGCAATATGCTTTCCCACGTGCCTGACACTGAGCAGCTGGGTGCTGGGGGAGGAAGGGACCCAGCCTTTGGCTATAGTTCTCCAACGTTATTTTAATTTACAATAAGGTCTGGAAGAAGCAGCTTCTGGGGGCTTCTGAGGCAGGACTGCTGTGTATCTCAACAGACGGAAGGATTGTTGGCCAACGGGAGGTACAGGGGCGGGCCGTCAGGAAGTCCCTTCCCTGACAGCAGACAGGGAGGCCTCAGCTCTGTTCCCTGTCTGCTTCTGGAGAAGCAAAGCCGGTGGGCACCGCAGCACCCACGAAGCGCGCCGCCAGCCGGCTCTAGCCCAGCACTGCATGGGGAAGCTGGCGGGCTCAAGCAGATGGGCGGGGGCTAAGAGCAGCAAGGGCGGGGGTGGGGGAGAAGCGATGCCAGGATGAGAGGGTGTGGATGGCTCAACGTGGGAGAAAGGGCCCCACTCCTGGGTGGACGCAATACAGTAGAAAAGTGCTTACGTCAGAGCTCAGACCCGCATGGCATGGCTGCTGTCGGCGCCCCGTGGGGATTCAGACGATGAGGGGTTGGCTGACGGAGTCGGGGAAGCAGGGGAGGTGGGAGGGCTTGGGGAGGCACATTGCACTGGAAACAGAAATGAACAGGGAAGTGAATAGGGTGGGTGGGGGTGGGAGGAGCCAGGAGGTTGGGCACCCAGAGCAAGCGAGGACCTCCTCCGGGCAGATGGGAGCAAGGCAGGAGGCAAGCAGAGAGGAGAGCTGAGCCTGGGAACTTGCTCAAGCTGAGGCAGAGCTGCCTCGTTCCGCGCACCGTGGAGGAGAGCATGGGGCCCCAGAGGAGACCTGGCTGAATCCAGGCTCTGCTGGGAACCAGTGTGACTGTGGGCGGGGCCAGCCTCTCTGGGCCCAAGGCTCCCTCCCATCTGTACAACAGGAGAGGCACACACCTCTCCACTATCGTGCGGAGAGAATGTAAGTGCGGATGGCACCTTATATATGGTGATATCGCTAATGATTAATAGTGCAGTAAAATCACACTAATCCACATCTTCAGGCCCCCCTTTAATGACTAGATCCAGGTGAAGTGATCCCCACATTAATTCATTCCACGAAAATGGAGGCTTCTGACAGGCTTAAAGTGAGCTGTTCACTTGGACAGGCTCAAGGGCTCCCCACCATCACAGGAAACCCCCTTTTCATCAATCCAGGAAAGGTGAACTTCAATCCACCCCTGAACAAATCATTATAAGCCTCAAAGTGGTGACATTTGAATTACTGAGATTTTACTCTATTATTATTCTTATTCCATGATGAGAACAGCCAAGTGGAAGGAAAACGGGCGGGAGAGTTAACGTTAGGGACAAGCTCCACACGGGCTCCAGACCCTCGTGCACCCTCAGTGTAGCTGCGAGGCAGGAGAGGGGCAGAGAGCATGTCCTCACTTGGGCTCAGGGAAGAACCAGACCTCAGCCAGGTCACTCTGTGTTTCCTCCAAGAAAGGGATCCTGACCCTGAACTTCCAATGCCCTGCTCCCCTGCCCTGGACCTCACCATGTTCCCTGCCCTCTGCGCAAGAGAAGGGCCAGCGCAGCTCCCATCGCACATATATATACACCCACATACGTACCTAACACTCAGGGTGCTCTCATGAACAGCAAGTTGTGTCTGCCCACACACAATACATAACTTCTGCATGGGATCTGGCAACACCTTCTCTTTACACATTTACACATTGCACACAACTCAGATATGTGTGTGCTTGTGCGCTTCCAAACCTCGGCCGGCCACATGACCCAACACACTGGTAACTTCACATACAAATACATTCACAGATGCTTTCAAAACACACATTTGTGTGCATATCCATGTCACAGACCCAATGGTTAGTTATCTGGCAACTTCAACTTCTAATACAGTCAGAAAACCAAAAACTAAGCAAGAAATGTCTCAAGGAAGCCAAATAGATGTTACAACCAACACGCAGAGGAGCTCCTTGGAGTCCAGTTACTCTCATTCACACACATTCTAATAGGGGGTGATGTGCTGGGTTTCTAGCCCGTGGGAGATTAGAAACAGGAAAATTAGAAGAGAGAGAGGAATGGCGAGGCCCCCTGACATCCATAAGAGGCACAAGTGAAGAGAGAAAATCTTTTGTAAAAAGTAGACATCGTAAGTTTGAAAGTGTAACGGTTTGGCAGCATTTAGCACAGCTACAAACAGATTTGTACTGCCCACAGCCCCTCAGGGCACCCCTTCAAAGCAGGTCAGCAAAATAAGGATATCGATAACCACACGAAACGAGCAAGAGCAAGAAAGATTAATTATGTTAATTATAACGTCTTTAAGAAGGCAGAGAAATAGTACATAGACATCAGGAACATATCCATGAAAATAAATTCACATAGGTAGCAGATATGTATTGGACAGGTGTGATATTATAGCTGTGTGTTCACAAGTCCTACCACATCTGCACACATAATCAGTCACACGCACTCACATTCATGAGGCTGCTGTCTTCCCCATTCTGCACACACAGGTATATGTTCACAAATACTGCAATATATACACTGTGTACAACATACACACAAATGTTATCATTCCCCATACTGCAAAAAAGTCCATCACACATAATTACGTGCATTCATAAACACTACCTCCATCCATGTCCTGTACGCGCACATTCTACACTCCAACAGCTTACCAAACGCCACTGTACTAATAATGGCCTCCACACAATTGCCAGACATTTTGCACACATTCAAACTCCTATATTTGTACTCAGACATTCCTTCCACCCACACGCCCCACAGGTGAATACACACATTTGTATACACACGTGTATCTAAAAACATTCCCTGATACAGACACGCACATGACATCATGCCACACACACAAACCTACGACTGCCACATCTTCCTATATACTACATCCTTAAGTCTGCACACATCGGTGTACTGACAGACACTGCAACCCTCGTCCCTGACCGCACCATCCATGCACACGCCCACACTCAGGCACCAACTCTGCATTCTGTGCCGGCTGCGCTATCCTCACGCCCTGTACCCAGCACTCCCATACACACAGGACCGGGCCTGGGCCATCGCACACTGCGCGTGCCCGGGGAACAGTCCTTGCTGTGCCTGACAGAGCTGCAGCTCTGGGAATCTGGGCCTCAGGCCAGGGGCGGTGGGGACAGTGGGCTAAGTCTGAGGTCTGGCCCTGCCACAGCTATTTTTTAAATAGTTGGGATTTTGGCAAAAGCAAGGTGACTGTTGCTGTCGGCGTACAGACCCTGAAATGCAAGCCAGTGTGTATCTAGGGGGAAATCGGATAGGCCCGCCTAGGCACATTTTCATGGAACCTTTGGCTGGGGAGGAGCAGAGGGAAGTTTTTAAAACAGTGTTGTACATTCTAACCCTTGAAACAGGAAGTTGCCTTTTGCCCGGAGCACGTGGAATTTGATCTTTGGAAGGTTCGAGTTCATTCTGCAGCTAAACTACAGGGAGCTTCAGCAGAGGCCTCCTTGCAGCCAAACTGGCTCTGCTGCCTTTAGGCTGCAGCATGGGGCTCTCAGAAGCCCATCCCTTCTCTGGCCCTCAACTCCAGCCCAACTGACAGCCTCTCTCTGAAATACCTCCAGGGTCTCTCCCTACCACATCTAACTACCCATCTAACGTCCTTTAAACCCTAACTGCCAGGAGCTTCTTCCTTAAGGCTTACTTAAACCCCATTTGGTGTAGCCTAAAACCCTCCGCTTTCTGCAAATATCCATATTTAAAATAAAGAGGAAAACCACAAACGGTTCCTACTTCTACTTCAGCTATTGCTATTTCAGCAAGTACTGCCACCACCCCAACACCACAGCACTCCCTCATCCCCAGCAGCACACAGCTGGCCAGCGTTTATGGGCACTGACTAAGCGCCAGGCGCTGTGCTAGGTGCTCAGCACACCTGATTGCTTCCGATCCTCACACCAGCAGACAGGAATTCTGATCTGAATTTTACAGATGAGAAAATGGAGCCTCAGAGAGCCGACTTCGAGCCCTGACTCACCAACACAAGACACCATCCCTTCCACTGTGCTCCCAGCCACAACGCTTACTGCTTGCTGCCTGACTCTCGCCCAGGCTACCACAACCCGTCTCTGCCTCCTCTACCAAAGCCATCGCAGCCCTGGCTTCCTCCTGGGCACCCCTCTCGCCTGGCCTTCAGTGCCCTCGCTCTCCCGCTCCTTCTGCAGCCTCACCACCTTCTGTGTTGAGGAGGAGGAAATACTCATTCTGGCAGGCTTCTTGACTTACCCACTGCCTTTCTCCTACCTTTCACCCACCCATGCATACAGAAGCTCCTGCATTCTTCCCGGTTACATCCTCATCTGTTCCAGATAACGTCTTGTAGTGTCTACTCGGGACTTGCTAGCCTTTGTATCAGGGTGAAGGCAGTTCCTCATACTCATCTTTTCTCAGCAGAAAAGTGGCTTTGGGTCAGTAGCCAAGGTGGCGACTGTCACTCTCAGCTCCTTGGCTGCCTGCACCAGCTTCTCTTTTTAGTCTTCTTATTTGCATGCAGCAAGAATGGGGAGAATATCCTGGAATACCTGGCCCTCACTCCACAGCTGCTCAATGCTTTGATTTTCCCCAGTCAGGCTCGGTTACCACTTTGTCTCTGGGCCTTTCCTGACCTTCCTGGGAAGAATGGCTCCCTGTGCTCCCCATGCCTCTGGCCATTCCTCCATACAGTGGCTAGGAGGGTCATCATGGCTCTGACTCCTGGAGGTCAGCACCTCTGCCCTCTGCACCCTCGGGGCTAGCGAAGTAGCTGGTGCTCAGTAAATGCTCATCCCAACCTTGAGGAACCTCTCCCCGGCCCTGGACCTCTCTGTCCCTGGCCCTCTTGCAGCTCTGTGACTTCTCCCCGACACCTGGTCAGCCGGTATCCCTGGTGGAGCGAGGCCCAGCCCCTCTCACCAGACAGCATGCGGCCCCTGCGGGAGGCCTCGGTCGCCAGGGCACAGGAGATTTCAATCCGCTTTTCCTGCTCCTGCAGCTGGCTCTCTGAGTCCTGGGGCACGTCCACAAGGTCCCCCTCGCCGATAGGCACCACGTTCTGCATACTGAAGAGGCACAGACACACAGACATGGGGTGGGGGGACAGGATGGTCCAATCGGCTGGGGGGTGGGGCCTGCGGACTGAGGTTAGTTGGGGGGCCAGAAGCCTGTGAATGTGCAGGCGCTGGTTCCCACCAAGGCTGTCCCCAGGGGTGAGTGGGACCCTGGCAAAACATGTGTTGGGACCCCTACCTGCAACAGTTCAAAATGAATTAGAAGGTTCAAGTGAACATTTAGGGCAGTCTTGCAGGGGAAAAGAAGTCACCAGAGGGCAACCCATCACTTTGTCTTGACGATACCAAATGCCTGAGCTCAGCAGGTCTCTTTGGCCCCCAATGGCAGCATCCTTGCCCCTGCCGCGTGCCTGGGCCCAGTCCGCTGCCTTGAGCCACTGTCTCCATTTGCTCTCTGCTGGAGAGGCTCGGGGCCCCCAACGACATAGGTCAGGGCACTGGATCCAGTGACACTGGTGCCCCAGGTGTCCTAGGTGCCAGGGTGGGCAGAGGATGTGGAGGTTCACCCAGGTCTGTTACCTGGACTTGGCAATGAGTGTCTTGATCCTCTCCACCTTCTTCTGCTTCTCCTTCAGCTCCTCGGGGCTCAGGGGGGTGTCAGGCTCCAGGTCAATGTACCGTTCGGGGATGAGGACTTTGTCTGGGGTGGAGAGCTGCGGAGGGACAGAGGTCACTGCCTCTGTCGCCTCCCAGGGTTCCCCCTCCACCCCTTCTGGGCTCCGCTCACCTCCTTATTGATGTCCACATCATAGTGCTGGGGCTCCAGCTCCATTTTGCGAAGCCGGGCAATTTCCTCCCGCGGCGTCTCATAGGCCTGCCCTCCAGGCTCCTCTGCCCGCAGGGCTGCCTCCAGGTTGGAGATGTCCACCTCATGGATGCTGCGGTGACGGCGCACCTAGGGGACAGCACCGTCATGACCACATGGGGCCTTTGTCACAATGCCAGCAGCATCTCCACTGCTACCCCTGCCTCCATGCGGCCCTAACCACGCCTGTGTCCTCACTGTCCCTGACCAGCCCACATGATCTTGCCTCCACCCAACGCTCCCACCGCCCCCACTGCAGAGCTATCCTCCTTCCACGCTGCTCATCCAAAGGCCGGCCCCCCTGCCAGGGCCCAGAGGTAAAATCTCATCAATCTCTCTCGCCAATACTCGTCACTCCCCATCCCGTTGTGCCCTGTGTTCACATTCTGTGCGTATACTTCAGGCGGCTGAATCAGTGTGTCTTACACTGATCTCTAATCATGTCATACGACAGAAGTTCCAATCCACCAACTAGAATGTAAACTGTTTGAGCGCAGGATCTGTGAGTCATAATTTTCCCATATGTCTGAAATTTAGTGGAAAGAAAAATTAGGCAGGTGCCTTGTGTTACTCTCAGCTCTGCACTTAATAGCTGTGTGGCCCAGGAATCCCTTAATTTCTCAAGACTTTGTTTCCCTATCTCTAATATAGGGACAATAATTCCTAACCCAGCGTTGTTGAAAGGACTAAGCGAGATGACATGAAAGGGATCTGTGAACTGTCTTGGGCTGTGCAACACAGGTTATCGTGATCACTTTCAGGATACCCAGCCCAATGTCGCCCACACAGAAAATGCTCTAGAAACAGGTATAAGTGATGGCTCTTTCTGGGTGTTGGATTTTGTACTCTCTTTTATTAACTGAATTTTGTGTAATTCATTTCAACCAAAATAAACAAGGCATTCTTCTTTGTGAGTTACTTTTCTTTAAACAGAAAAGGAAGCACTTGCTGCTGTATCTCTTCTGCCCAGTGGGGAGAGGCCTCCCCAGTTCTCCCAGGTGCCCCACTTGGGTCCATCCCAGCCCCTCCCTCACTACCACCCCCTAAGGCTGGCCACACTCTGCGAGTGGGCAGTGTCGGCAGATGCCAGGCCATGCCTAAGGGTGGCTGAGAGGACGTTACCACTTTGTAGGCAGGCCGGGCAGTGGGGTCAGGGGCCGGGCTGGCTGGGAGCTGCAGGCTCCTGCGCTTCTCCTTCATAGAGCCACTCTGGTGCCGCCGCATGCGGTCAATCTGCTCCTCCACACTCATCTTGACCTTGCCCTCACCAGGGAACACAGCACTCTTGGGGCGCTCCTGCTGCAGTGAGAGAATAGGGCTCTGACCGGTGCCTCGTCCCTCACCCAGCCTTTTCATCTGCCCATATCACTTAAAATTTCCCTTCTCTGTGAAGCCTGCCTCTAGTGGGTTGAACAGTGATCCCCAAGAGCTATATCCAAGTCCTAACCCCTAGTACTTGTGAATGTGACCTTATTTGGAAATTGGGTCTTTACAGATGTAATTAAGTTAAGGATCTCGAGATGAGATCATTGTGAATTAGGGTGAGCCCTAAATCCAATAAAGGGTGGCCTTATAAGAAACACGAAAAATGAAGACATGTAGAGTAGAAGGTGATATGAAGGTGGAGGCAGAGATTGGAGTGATGTGTCTACAAGCCAAGGAACACCAAGGATTGCTAGCTGTGGCCATAAGCTAGGAGAGAGGCACGGAATGGATGCTCCCTCAGAGCCTCCAGAGGGAAGCAACCCTGTGACACCTTGATTTCGGACTTCCGACCTCCACAACTGTGAGAGAATAAACTTCTGTTGTTTTAAGCCACCAAGTTGGTGGTATATTGTTAATTTCCTAGCAGCCTGAGGAAACTAACACACTGCCTTGGGTCAGCACATTTGACACTGACCACTGACTTTGCTACATTTGTATTTCATCGCTGGCACATTATAACAATTTTGTTAAATTTCTTGTATCTTTATCATGCATCTCTTCCTTGCCCCTTGACATATCTCCCCGAAATAGACTCCTCCTCCAGTGGGGCTGTGCCTTTCTCACTTGTTCTGCCTTCCTCCTCCAGCCCCAGGTTGCCTGAACAGTGGTGACAGATGGGTGGACACACAAGGTCCCTGGGCCCACATGAGCTCTCGAGCCTGCAGGTGTGTACTCACTCGGGAGGAGAGTCCATTGGTGAGCCCATTGGCACTCCTCCTCACCACCCTTGATGGGGTCACCTCCTCATCAGTGGGTGACTTTGTCCGCGGGGGCACAATGCCAACTGCAGGGAGACAGGGCAGCCGGTGGGCCTCATGGAGAGCAAGAGGTGGAGAGACAAGTGGACCAGCTCCTCAGAGAGGTTCGGCCCTGCGCCACGGGGGTAGGTGAGCACTCTCTTTGGGCATGAGTGGGCCCCACTCTGACCCTTAGCCTTACTTCTAGGGGAGGATGGGACAGGAAGTACCTTTGTTGAGAGCTGCCTGCTTCTCTGCCTCCACCTCTTGCCTGGTGGGCACAAGGCTGATGTCTCTAGAGGTGTCCAGGGGTGATGTCTGGTGGAGGTCTTTCTTGCTTTGCTCATAGCTTGCCTTGGGCTGGGAGAAAGGATGAGAAGACGATTGATGCTAGAGTGACTGCCAGAAATTTGGCTCCCAGTGGTGTTTCTTTGTTTTGCAATGGTTGAAGCACAAACCCTTGAAAACACGGGTCAGGGAAACTTTACATGTCCCAGCTGGGAAGTGGGCAGGGATGCATCGGGGCCTCCCAGCCAAGCCACCTTAAGGCTAGCCAGGGCGGGGCCATCCTGGGGAGTGAGGGCTCAGGGCCTCCAGAAGGCCCTCGGTTGAGGCCAATCAGACAAGCCCCTCAACCAGACCAGTCGTCTTGGCAAGCACCAAGAAGCACAGATTTGCTGTGAGCCAGAGAGGAGGGGCTAAAGGCCAAGGATCTCTGAAGATTCTGTTGGGATCCCACCCAAGACTTAAGCAAAAGAACCAGGTGAGCTTTGGAACCAGGATTCTGGGCGAAGTGAAAGGGCACTTTTTACTTGTGAGCTTGCAGAATCATGAGACCAGAAAGGTCCTCAGACATCATCTGTGCCATCCCCCTCCACTGTGTAGTCGAAGAATCTAAGCCTCAGTGAGGGGAATACAGAAGGAAGACTAGGCCAGAGGTCAGAACCAGTGCTAGTCCAACCAGAGAGCATGGGTGAGTCCTACCACCTTTCTTCATCTGTAAAACAGAGGGAATGTTCCCTGCTCTGCCCACCTCTGGGCAGACCCTCAAGGGTTATGCAAATGCCGGTAGCTGAGCCTAGATGAGAATATGGGTTTCCCAATTTTAGACACAGGACTCTTTCTACTCACCACGCAACCTCTTCCAAGCCTAACTGCATATCTCTCCTGGATCTTGGCTAGGGATCCAGGTCAGAGAAGGAGCCAGAACAGGGGAGAAAAGGGCCTGTATCCTTACCCTGCAGGGGCTGCTGAGACCCAAAGAGGACACAGGCAAGGCAGAGACAGACAGAGAGCATGGTGGATTGGAGTCTGCAGTGGATGAGAGCAGGGATTGGAATGGTACTAGTGTGTGTGGGGGTGTCACTTGATTTCCATCGTCTGCTGGTGCTGGTAAGGAGTGGGGCATAACCCACTACCCACAGCCATGGGCCGCCAAGGAGCCTGGGCAGGGGTAGGGCAGCAACTCATTTTCCCATCATCCAAAGAAAGCAAAAAGAGGAAAGAGGGCCTGTATGAGCATCTCCACATCCCTTTCCTTATCCCGGAGTCCCACTGGGCAGAGGGCCCAGTAGAAATTGAGCTGTGGGAAAATTAAGATTGGGATAGGGAAAATGACTCAGGGTCTGGCCTTGCCCCGTTCCCTCCACCCCTGCCCTCCAGGACCCAAGGGTGCTGGGTACCTGACCCCTGGCTGTCTCGCCACTGTGGTGCCAGGAAGGGGAGTTGGGGTAGGGCCAGAAGCGGCTCTCACTAGGGAGTGGAGGCACGGTGGGAGGAGACTCCAGGGGGACGTAGGCTTTGGGGAGGGGAGGCCGTGGGGGGCCAGCTTCCTAAGGCAGAGAGAAGCCAGAGCGTTAGAGGAACAAGAGCGGCCGCTGTGAGAGCAGGAGAAAAGATAGTTAGCAGGAGGCAGACGACAACATCACTGGAGCCCTGGGGTGGCTGGACCACCAAACTCCCACCCGTGGCCTGGATGGAGCTCCAGCTCTGGAGCGAACTCTCTGCCTGGCCTGCAAGGCCCTCCTGGACTGAGCCCTGCCTGTGCACCCCTCCCCAGGGCTCTCTCCACACTGCTCACATCCCACGGTGCGTTCCCACCCAGCCCTCTGCTCCTGCCATCTCTCCTGCCTGTAAGACCTTCCCCGTTCCCCTATCTATCCCAAAGCCTAATGGCCCAGTTTAAGTCCCACCTTGTCTTTGCAACCTCAGAGCACTACGGTCTGGACCATGTGGCTCAATACAGAGACACACATGGCCACGTTCCAGAGGCAGGTCATTCACTACGAGTTGGTCTTGTCCCCACTGGACGCTGGGATCCCTGAGCAGAGGGGCTTGGGCGTGCATGTGGCTCTTTCTGAGAGGGCCTCACAGCACCCCTGCCCACAGCAGAGCTTCAGTAAACACCTGCTGATTGACTGACGAGGAAACAGCACCCCACACCGGCCCTCAACCCTCTCACCCCCGGAACAATCCTGGATTTAAATTCCTATTAAGGGTTTTGTATCTTTGCTAACCATCCTGGTGCTCAGGAAGAGACTTCTCTAAAGGGAGCTAAGATGACAGACAGAGACAAAAACAGGTGAAGGAGAAATCTGGAGGAAGGTCACCAAGCCAGCTGTGAGAATGACACCTCAGACAGAGCCAGAGCACTAGGACTGAGGCCTCTGGGGAAGAGACGGGCTCAGAAGTTGTGTAGTTTCAGGCAAATGAGGACCTGCTCCTCCCTCCCCCACATACCTGCTGCTCCATTTTCTCCACTTACCTCATTGGACGCAGGCTTGGTGGGAGACCCCTGAGAGCCAGACACCAGTGAGAAGGGGCTCAGGGGGCTGGTGAGGCTGGCGGAGCTGAGGGGGCTGGCAGGGCTGTTGGAGCTGCAGGTGGCAGAGGGGCCGAGGCCTCCTTGTGGGAAACAGAAGGGGAGAGAGATGAGGGAGGGGTAGAGTGAGCCAGGGGTGTGGACGCGATCCATAGGTAGAGGAGGCCAGGGAGGACCAGGGATGTGGGAGGGAGGATTCATTATCTCAGGGCCACCAGGGCCTGCTGAAGGGACTTATTACAGGGCTGGGTCACAGGCCGGCTGTTGAGAGGCATGCTGGGCAGGGGAAGATGACGGACGGAAATAACACTGTTGCCTCCGAGGTGTCAAGGAAAGCCAGCCCGAGGTCCCGGGGCTTGAGGAAGACACTAAGGTCGTGGTCTCAGATCACCCATGGGCCCATGGGGTTAGGGGCTGGGGAGGCCCACATGCTCTTTGACCTTTTCTGGGAAGGAATCTAGAGTGTCACGGTCAACAGTGTCTCTGAGTAGTATGTATGGTCTATTCTAGGGGGGAGAGGGAGGGATAAAGGAGGCCCACCTAGTATCTCAGAGGAAGGGGAAGATTCTGGAGCCCTGAGAAGGCCCTGACTGGCTCTGAGCACAGTGTGAGGGCCTGGAGAGCTGTGAGTTGGCAGGTGTGGGACAGCGTTTCTGGTGAGGCCAGAAGCCCTGGAGGCTGGTGGATGAGGCACTCACCTCTGTGCTTGGCTGTGTCTGTGCCCCGGGATGGGTTATTCTTCCTCAGCCCCTCCAGCACATCTTGGATCCTCCAGATCTCCTTCTGGATTTGCCGGTTGAGCACCTCATTCTGAAACAGTCCCAGAGCAGGTCAAAGGAAGCGGCTGCCGAGAGGGTCCCAGCCCTCTCCCCACAGCCCTTTGGACGAGCAGCAGGCAGGAGCCTTCTGTGTGTGTGCGCATGTGTGCACACACACACATCCCTCCAGCACATTCATCTTTCTCACGGGCGGCCTCTGCCTCTTTAGCTTCTATGAAACAGAGTTCCGCAACTACCAGAGGAGGGGCCCCATCACCACAGTAGAGAGCCCCTCTAGGTGAACACGCGGCCTTGGAACCAGGGGAATGAGGACCCGCTCAGGCCCCCGGGAGGTCAGGAGGTCTGGGACCATGTGCCCCTCGGGCGGATACTTTCTGTAGCTTGTTTCCCATGGGCGACAACTTCCAGGGTACTGTTTTTCTTTACACCCAAACAACCCTTTCTTAACACCCACACCCAACGTGCCTAAATCCTCATGAATTATATTCGGTTAGAGTTCACACTCTGAAAAGTGATAACTACCATTTGTCTAGCGCCCCCAGAGCAGGGCTGGGCTATGTGCTGTGCACACACCAGCTCATAGTGGCTGCATAGCAGCTCTAGAGCCCAGGGTAACAGTTGTCCTGACTTCACCGATGAAGGGACTCACGCCTAAGACCATCTTAAGAGACGTGTAAGGAGTGTGCCCACCATCTAAGTCTGGGTCTGTTTGTCGCAAAGGCTGGTACTCTTGAGCACGATGCTACCCCACCTCTAGGCAGAGTGCTCTAACCCCCCACAAAGGAGAGCCTCTCTCTTATCTTAACATTCCCGAGGGGCCGGGCTGTGCCATCGACCCTCTGATGCCGTGAGAGAAATTTATATTTATATTATGCTTATGTCTATAAGTCTGTTAAAACTTTTCAGTCATAAAACACCTTACGTCTAACCTAAGGCTCCCATGCTTCAGTTTTCCTCCTTCCGCACAATTTGATGGAATAAAGAGGAACCCACGCTATCTTCATCCTAAAACTTAGAGCATGTTTCAAGCGGCCCTGAACCTGGCCTTTGTAGGACCAAGTCCTCCCTCCAGTCGCTGAGATCTCTAAAGAAGAAAGGAAGCCACTCTGGTCTCTTTTGGCCAAAAGGACAAGGGAAGCCCAAAGCACACAGTGACCCGCCTGCCCGGGCTCTCTTCACCTGGGCATCCAGACTGAGCTGCTCCCAGAGGTCATCGTGCAGGGCAGAGACCTCCGACTCGAGGCTCTCGTACTCGACGGTGCTGTTCGTCAGGGCCTGCAAGGGGGAGGTTTACTGAGACAGCATTCCTCGTGGTCCTGCCTCAGGGCCTGGGGCCAGAGAACCTGAGGTCTGCGGTCAGGGGAGGAGGGCACAGGGCTGAGACATTCTAATGACAGCGAAACACTGGCCCAGCAAGAGGTGCACCAGCCCATCCTGCTGCAAACCAAAATAAGGGGAAACAGAATCCTCTCCAGACACGTGCCTAGGCCAAAGCGAGTATCATCACCCCACACCCTCCTCTTCTCCCCAGACTGCACGATACAAAGTGAAGGGCAAAAGGAAAGAGGTGAGGGGAAGGTGTCTGCCCTCTGGAGCAGGAGACCTTCCTCCTTCCTGGGCCACCTTTCCCTGGCTCTTGCTGCTGTCCCTAGAGCTATTGCCCAGGCCATCTGGCTTGGTGGGTCTGCCCCCTGCTCACTGGGAAATGACCAGGGCAGCACTGTTTCTACTGGTGTCCTGGTTCTCCAGGGCAGAGGACAGAGGTGGGCAGCAGTGGTGTCAGAGCAGCCGAGGGAAGAAGTGGCCTTCAACTCCAGGATGTCCTGAGCGAATCCCAGTGCAGGGACAGTTAGTGGGAAATAAGCCATCTTCCTTGCAGACTAAATGGAATGAGTGGGCTGGCACATTTGCTGTGTATTTGCAAGGCAGCGCTAGGGTCTTTGTGTATGCCCCTCCCGGACAAGGGCACCCTGCTCTTACGCTCAGAGGAGAACCTGGATCGGGGAGCACCAGCCGGGAGGGGTGGCTCTCCTATCCCGGTGCTGACAGTTGGGCAGGGGGGAGGTTGGGCACAGACCCTGCTCTCCGGGTTACCGTGGTTGCCTGAGACAGCTCCACCCGGATGTTGATGAGCTGGTTCTGCAGCGATTCCTTCTTGTGTAGCAGCTTCTCTGGGTAGGCAGGCTGGCTTCCAAACATCTCCAGTTCCTGGTGGGTCCCCATCAAGGCACTTTCCAGGCTCTCCTGAAGAAAGGCAGGAATGGCTATGAGCAGCCCTGATATCTCCTCTCTGGGACTTTGAGCAGCAGAAGCCTGAGCCCTAGAGGTTCAACCAGGCAACTTAGCGGAGGTCGTCCTCACACTGCCTGAGGTCCCCAAGAGAGCCTCAGCAGTTCCCGTCAAAGGCAGGACAGAAGTTTAAGGAAGGACTAGGCTCTGTCAGCTTAGTTAGGATGGAGATAGCGACTCACCCCTTCCCCCAGCCAGCTGCCCAAGTGCCCCCACTCAGGACCACCCTGGGCTCTCACCTTCTCGGCTCGGAGTTGCTGCACCAGCCGGTCCTGCTCCCTCACCACCTTGTTCTGCTCACACAATTTGCCCAGCAGCTTCTGGGGTCCCAAGGGAGTTGGGGAAAGGGAAGGAGAGAGGAGATGAAGGACACGGTTTGATGGGGACCCGGGAACTGGATTGGCAGGGCCTGGCCTCTGGATACCACCTCCTTTCCCCTGCTGAGGAACCCTGGGCCTTCGCCTTCACCTTGGAGGCTCCTGGGAACACGAAGATGGTCTTCACCTTGGGAGACTCCCCAGGGACCCACTGGGAAGGGAGATGTGTTTATTCTCTGAGGAAGTGAGTCAGGTTGACAAGGAAGAAGGCTCCTGTGCTCCCATCCTCCTGGGGCTCTAACTTACAAGGAGTTGAGGAGACCATGTGCCCCCGCCTCCCGGGACAGTATGGATTAGTGAGGTAGGCGGAGTGTCTGAACAAGTCTTAGAAGAACCAGCAAACATTGTAAACTAGTTCCCCGGACCCACAGGGCCCTGTTCTCCCCTCCTCCCTCCAGGGTCTCAGGATGGCTGATGCTGGGGTCCCTCCAAGATCTGGTCCTTTCCTGGATGGAACCTCTCCCAGGCCTGCTGGGCAGATCCGCTAGCCAGGCCAGGCCAGAGGTGATGGGGAGGAGGCAGTTTAGGCCAAACTTCTCTTGTGGAAATACCTGCACTTTCCTGCATCCACACCTTATTCACACCATCCCTCAAATACCCCCTTGGCTCTTTTCTACTGAGCCAAATCTTGTCCTCCGGGCCTTTTACTTCAAGGCCCAGCTCACACGCTACCTGTTTTGCCCCTGACCCAGCAGCCCACATGGTCTCATAGCCCCGCATTCCTGTAGAACCTATCATGAGTCCCGTGCAGTGTATGAATCAGATGTTGCCACCTGCCGCTACCCAGCTCTCCTACCACCCAGAGGGCGGGGCGGGGCCGTAACCTTTCCAGCCACCTAAGGACTCTGGCCATGCTGGGCACAAAGTAGACTGATTTACCTCCTAACAAAGTCTGTGTTCCTGTAATAAGCAGATCCCACTGCTGCAGACAAGAGGGCCCAGAGCTCAGTGGAGAAACATACACAGCCAGCATGGAGGTGGGGTAAGTGCTAAGAACAAGAAAGAGGGGGATGAGGAGGGACGGGCAGAATGTTGTCTTTGTGGTGAGAGAGGACATGAATTAAATGTATGAAGAGCCACCAGAAGGAGAGAGATGGATGGAGGAACAGCCCCTGAGGAGGAGCTCTAGGCTGAGGATGACAGCGGGAGGGGCTGGAGCGGACAGCGGGAGCAGGAGAGCTGCTCTTACATCTGTGTCTTGCTCGTTTAACTTGTAGGTGTGGAGGCTGTCCCGGAACACTTCTGGGTACGGAGGGACCTGCAGGAACATGAGGCCGGTTACTGCAGCAGGGAACAGACAGGGCCCGTGGGCGGGAAAGCTGACAACTCTTGCTCCATTCTTGCCAGAGACCCGCAGATCATCACCTCTGGTAGCTTCCATTCTAGGGATCTGAGCTGAGCTAATTCTCTCTGGTCTAGGTTCCGTTCCAATTGTCCCAGGCTGATTCTGGAGACAGAGAGGCTGCTCTGTGCCTGCTCTGGTTCTCCTCTCCCCCACGCTCTAGGATCTACTGCCAAGAGGGACTCCAGGGGTGTGTAGCTCCTGGATGGCTTACTGGTAACAACCATGAGGACAACAGTTAACCGTTGGCTGTTTTTGAGGATAAGGCATCGAGAATGGAATGAGCATTGGAAACATCTGAGAACTATTGCCCCAATAGACTGAACACCAGTCACAGTGCTTGTGCCTAACCCAGAAGAGTCTCAGGTCCAACAAATGCTGCCTACCCTTGGTGATGCATCCGGTAACCACAGCACATTCTACACACCCTTGGCATTGGATGGTTCCATATCACACGTCTCAGGACCTTAACCCCATGATGCCCGTTAAGAAGATACCAGATATGAAATAGAAGTCCTGGACATTAAAAAGCAGATGTGTGATCCCTGGCATGGCATGAAATGTTGGTGCTGGCTATTTTGATGGTTTGGGAAATGGGCCTTGGGTTCACCCAAGAACGTGAAGAATGGAGGAGACATGGTGGAATTAAAGGAGGAAGCCCAGGCTGAGCCTGGGAGATGAAGCCTGGCAGATGAGCGGGTTGGGCTGAGGAAGCCCCATCCCAGATGGGTTGACTCGACCATGCACAAGCAGCTGAAATGGTGTTGACAGGGACTGTGCTGCCAGGCAGAGGTCTTACTTGCATGAAGAGTTGGGCCCTGGGGGAAGAGTTTTCCACCATGCGGTTCACCATACTGATGAGAGTCTCGCTCTCACTCATCTGCAGCAGAGGAAGGAATGGACAGTTCAAACTCAGACCCCCATGGAGGTATCTCCCCCATACCAGCCTGTGCTTGTCTTCCAGGAACAGGAAAGGGCAGCTCCTCTTGGGGCCTCCAGCACCCACTGTTTGGCCTTACATCGCTCACCCCTTGTGAAGTCCACCTCAGGGCCAGCGCTGAAACTGCCCTTGAGGAGAGGCCACAGAAGGGAGCTGAGACTTGCTGTGCCCTGACTGCAGCTCTGAAGAGGCCACTGACCAATGACACTCCCAAGGTCCCTGAGTGTTGTGGCCTCATCCACTTTGGCCAAGGTGGTCATATCCTTGCCCCAGCTCTCATTTTTCACACTGCTCTGGTCAAAGAACACACAGGCAGTTGGAAAGGCCGATCTCCCAAAATTTGAACTAAATGAAACAACTGGAGAAAACTGAGACCTGCTCTTTGGATGGGCTTCAAAAGTAGGGGTCTCTCTCCCAACCCCCGCCTACCCCTGGCTCTAGAGTAGAAAAGATTGCTAAACATGGTTTCCAGAGCTGGGCTGGTAGCATCCATGCTCATCTTGGATGACACTAGGGAGCAAATAAGGAGGCCAAACAAGTGAGTCATGTTAAAGGGACACCAGATAATGGAACACTGCTCCCCAACATGTTATCTTATGTTTCAAGAACCATTAGGAACGTGGAAGGGGAAAGACTATTTGCCAAATGAAAAAGAGAGAGAGAAAGAGAGAAGGAAGGATGAGAGAAGGAGACAGAGAGAGGGAGGGAGGGAGGACAAGCCAACCAAATCAACCAGAAATGCCATCATTTCCCCCACTGGTTCCAGTGTGACAGCATCAAAAAGTGAACATATTAGGGAGTGTCCTTGGCTATGTCCCTTTAACTCAATTGATCCACAGGAAAAGGAGGCAGAAGACAGAAGGAAACTGTGTGGGAAAACGGTTTTGGGGAGAGGAAGTGAGTGAGGGAAGGGACAGAGCCACCTTAGGGCAGATCTTCTGGGGTCACAGTTCAGGGCCCCATGTTTTTGCCCTTGTCTTCCCGATCTCTGTGGGACCCACATATATTTTCCTCTTGCCCCATTTAGGCGGCCACATAACGCTGCCCTGCTCCGTGTGCTGCGGACGGGGTGAGGGGCACCCGGCCACCCCCGTTCGCAAGGGTCTACAGCATTTTAAAAGGCTTTCCTAGGATCTGATTTTTCTCTTTAGCCCGGTTGGAAATTTTTTCTATGGCATAAAGTGTCATTTAAAAGGCTTTCAAAAGAGCAGTTGTAATATGAGGTTGAGTCTTTGTAAAGCAGTTAAAAGTCAACAGGACATCAACCCCAGTTTCTGTAAGGATCTGAACTCAAGTTGATCCCTGTCTTCCTGAAGCTTGCGTGTGTGGATGACACTGTGTTGACTGTGTACGGGGTGTGCATGTGTGGTGTGTGTGTGATCATATACAGGGTGTGTATGTTTATGTCTGCTGCCTGTATGTCACGCCTGTGTCCTGTGTGCGGTGTGTGTGTGTATGGGGTGTGTGCACATGGAGGACAAGGCTGATCTACCACACATCAGGCTTTGAGAGGGTCAGGGAGGCCCAGGCTCTTCCTGGACACCCACTGATCTTATTCCTTCCGCAACCCGTGGGTCTAATGCAATAAGGAAGGAAGCAGGAATGTTCTTGCCCTCGCCTGCTCCCACCAGTGCTGTGGCTTTGGGGATCTTTGAGCCCAAGTAGGCCTTGCCTCTAGGAGGATTCCCATTTGCCACCTTCTGTCTCTACAAACTGTTAGAGGAATTTGGTGAGAAAGCACTTAGCCCAGTGCCTTATACATAGTAAGTGGTCCTCAATTAACATTTTTAATTGAGTTTTAGAAGAATAATAAAATAAGTGTAGCAGCAGTCACCACCCCTCACCATGCCTGCCAAAGTGCTCTCGTATACACTCTCGCTGCTTCGCCCAGTAACTCTGTGAGGCAGAAAGGGCAGGTGCTACAATGTCCATTTTATGATTGAGAAAACAAAGACCCAGAGAGGCTGAGTGATGTTTCCAAGGTTAAAAAAAAATCCTTGTAAATGGCAGAGCTGGAACTAGAGTACAAGGTCTGACTGTGTTCTGAACTCTACTCATCATACAAAAGTGCCTTTTAAGAATATTATCCCTGGGGGCCGGCCCCGTGGCTTAGCGGTTAAGTGTGCGTGCTCCGCTAGCGGCGGCCCGGGTTTGGATGCCAGCCCGGGTTCAGATACGCACCGCTTGTCCGGCCATGCTGAGGCCGCGTCCCACATACAGCAACTAGAAGGATGTGCAACTGTGAATACAACAATCTACTGAGGCTTTGGGGAGAAAAAGGAAAAAAAAAAAAAAAAATGGAGGAGAATTGGCAATAGATGTTAGCTCAGGGCCAGTTTTCCTCAAGAAAAAGAAGAGGATTGGCATGGATGTTAGCTCAGGGCTGATCTTCCTCACAAAAAAAAAAAAAAGAATATTATCCTTCATCTAGGAGGATGTCCGCTGAAAGGTTACTTCTGAAGCCCCCAGCCTAAAGGCTTAGCCCCTCTGTGAAGCCAGAAGCCCCCAGGAAGGAATGCTTGGCACTGCGGAAGGGCCACAGGGAGGACGCCCTGCCCAGTGGGCCGGAGGGAACCGAGCCCGGCCCCTCACTACTCCCAGCGCTGCAGACCCTGCTTCCCAGCCCTGGTCTGCATGACATCCCAGGACTCGTCCCCACATGGACCGGAATGCTCATGGCGTGGACACGACGTGCTGCTTCTGGAATGAAAATACAATGTCCTTGAAGGCCGGCAGCTGCCCCTGCTGATAAAAATACAGCTATCAGTGCTTCCCAGTGCCCAGGGTCTTCTATGAGGACGATCTCACTGAGATACCGAGGCCCTGTGAGATGACAGGTGACATGGCACACGGATTATGACTACAACCACCACCAATCACAGGTATAGCCTCTGATTTCAGGTTTTCCGTTCTTTCTGCAACTTTAAGAGCATAAAATCATCCCAATGAGGTTTGATCCCAGCTTCTTCACATATTAGATGTTTCCTCAGCTGTAAACGGGGTCAAAAGCTCGGAGTCACATTCCAAGCTCTGCCGCTTACTGGCTGTGTGTACTTGGCACATCATTTAACTTCTCTGGGTTTTCAGTTCATCAGCTATAAAATGGGGATAATAACAATACCCACCTTGCAGTGTTGTTATAAAGATTAAACGAGTTAGGATCTGTAAGGTGCTTAAAATAGTAGGGGGCACAGAGGAAGCACCCGGTTATGGTATCTGCCACCATTATTATTATTATTATTATTATTGCCATCATTATTTCCACCCCCCCAGCTGCCTTCACAAGACAATGTTGTGTATGCCCAGTCCCCTATGACATGTAGCACAGATCTGAACACAAGAGTCTGTGCTCATATCAATGCCCAGCATATTGATCCCCCGCCTGTCTAAACCCAGCGACCTCAAAAGGCAAGGCAGCCAACAGTTAGAAGCAGGAGCCAGGAGCCCAGGCAGCCAGTCGCTTCCATCTCATAGGAACACTCACTGCCTCTTCAGGATGCTTATCTGTAAAACCAGGTTGATACCACTGCTTCTGTTTACTATACCGCATTCTCAGGAAAACACGAGCAAAAGAAAGTATGCAAAAGAAAGTTGTGGAGGAAGTAACAAATATACTGAATTAATATAACTTTTTAAATCATCCTAGGGCAGGTCTGTAGTCCTCAGTTTACAAATTACGAAGTTTACCAATGACCTGTGGAATACAACTGGATAATTTCCCAGATACAGGCTGAACTGAGTCCCTAGCACTTTAGGCCAAGCACAGAGCTCCTCCTACAGTCTCTGCTACTCTCTCCAGCAAAAATGCAAATTCCCGCTTGTGCCGGCCTGGGGCAGTTCCATCTGCTGAACAAACAGGAGATGCATTAATTATTCATGTGGTCATTTATTATTCTGCTTTCCCTAGGAAATCCCCAGCTGCCCTAAAGGGCTTTGAAGAGAAGGGGTGTGAAGGCGCAAAGCAAAATATAAGCCCCTTTGTTGTGTCCTGGTTGTGGCAACAAAGGTTGTCAAATGGATGAAGATGAGGAGGTGGGAGGAGTAGGAGGCGCAGGGAGGGAGGGGGTGGCAAGGGGCACCAGCTCTGCCTACCTGCTGATCCAAATACTCTAGGTTTCTTTGCAACTGAAGGTCTAAAAGTTCATCCTACCCGGAGCCCGAGGCCCAACGGCAACACAAACAAACAGGAACAGGACAAAAGAAAACAATAAAAAGGAAGCAAAGCAGTTAAGAGTTAGCTGGGCAGGACCAAGAGAGGCCTCTCTCTGCCCTGGAGGAGTTCTGGGGAGGGAGGGGTGAGGACGACGGGCAGGCCCAGAGGTCGCCCACTGGACACGCCCAGCCCAGCGAGAGGAGGCAAGCACTGGGCCCCAGCTGAGGCTCCTAGGTCTGCCTGGCCCTCCCCCGGGAGAGGGAAGCACCCACAGCAGCAATCTAGTCAGCACTTCCTAGCAGCTCTTTCTTAGTTTTCTGGAAACACCCATTGTTTCTGGATGGGTGTATTTGCTGTGTGCCGAGGCTACAGAGTTTGGACACTGGCAGAGCAGAATGAGAGACGGGGAAGGAGGAGCAGCAGTTCCCCTACCCCCCTGGCCCTCCCCCTTCCCCTTCTCCCCGGCCTGTCAAGCCCTGCCCACCCTGGCCTCTTAGGGCTATGGAGGCAGAGGGGTCAGCAACAGGCCTGGGGGACAAGGATTCCGTCTGTTGGTTCCAATAGTGTCCCCACCCCCTACCCCCACCCCCTGCTCCCTGGAGTATCTGCATCTAGTTCTCCAGGTTGAGGGGAAAATTCTCAGAAGAACAAATTCCAGGAGGAGATACAAGTAGAAAGGGGAGAGAAAAGAAGGAGAGACACAACATGGAAAATCTTTTCTTAATCCTGCCACTTGTCTCTTTCTCCAAAAGTAGCCTATCAGGCAAGGACAAACTTGGAGCAAAATGCTCTGGGGTGACAGGGGGAGGCTAGAAGATCATGCCTGTCGTGGGAGCTTCAGCCTGACTTTTCTTCCCAGCCCACTACCTAAGCCCCATCCAGGCCCCTCCGCACACTGGAGAGGGTTGTTCTGAGGTCAAGAGGACTGGGAAGTTACATGCTGCCAGATCTCGTCCCTGCTCCTCTGCCCTGTGTCAGAGAGGAACAGGGGTAGCTGGCACCAAATTCTATATTGGGGCTAGAGGCCTGGTCAGGAGGGAGGAGGTATCCAGAGGCTGCTAAAAGCCAGATGGGCCAGGCATTGAGCACAGAGCATCCCTGGTCTGCCCTAGTTTGCCCGCACCCTGGGAGAAGAGGTGGGGGAGTGGAGTGGAGAGAGGACGTACCATCTTATCGTGGACCGTAGGGGATGGCGGGTAGTTGTAGGGGAACAGTCCTGCAGGGACTGGCCGCCTGTCTCCCAGGTAATCATACTGGAAGAGAAAGGGGATTGGAGAGGTGAGGGGGTCCAAATGGGACACAGACTTCCCCACCAACTGAAGTTCAAGGTTAGGGATGTTTGTATCCTGTCCCAGACCAGATTCCAAACTAAAATGAACAGCATTTGTCCACTGCAATATCCTTGCAATGATCTGTCCAGGTCCTCAAGACTTGAAAAGACAGAACCCTGTCTGCCCTCTTATATAGAACTAGGGTTCCTGGCACAACCTGGGGACGGGCGCAGAGAGCCATGTTCCCACTCAGTGGGCAAAGCAAACCCCTCAAGGCAGCTCTCCTGTGGACGGATCACAGGGCCACTGGCTCCCCAGGCAGCATCGCTGGTCCTGCCCACACACAGCGCGGTGACCTTGTGTCCCAGATGCCCCACACCTCCACCTCTTCTCAGCAGGTATCTCAGGCTTCTGGGAGACCTCAGGGGATGAGGGAGGAGGGGCAGGCTAGTGGCTCACCTTGGGGGAGCTGATGGATCGCCTCATCACATAGGCAGTGGGGTCAGCATAGATGTCCTCACTGCGAGGTGGCAGCCGCTCAAAACGGGCACTGGGTGAGCGGACTGGGGAGTAAATGCGGGCGCGGCTGTAGGAGCCCTGGCTGGGCGAGCGGGGCACGGAGTGGGAACGGGGCTGCAAGGACAGGTGGCGCAGGGAGCTGGAGGCGGCATCCAGCTCGTCATAATAGGCGGGCTGCCGGGAGGGGCTGGGGATCCAGATGGTGCCCTCCTGCCGCCCATAGCCAGCAGGCTCCTTCCACTCGTGCAGCTGGAAGGTGGGGCCGCCTCCGTTGCGGAAGGACTGGCGCTTGTCCTCCAGGGCCCAGGGAGGGCTGATTCGATCGTAGGCCGGCATTGAGCAGATGCTGTCTGGCCGCACCCCTGGTGGGTAGTACTGGTAATCGTCAGAGTACTGGGAGGAATAGGGGCCGTAATACTCGGGGACCCTGCGGGTCATGGGGTAGAACCTAGAGGGACTGAGAGAGAGAGGATGCTGTAAGGAAGCCAGACAAAATGGGCGCGTCCCCACATGGCTGGTGCCCCAGCCCCACCTCCACATCCTCCAGCCTAGAGTGGGTTTGACTAAGTGAAGGTGCCCAGGCTGGCCTTGGGAGCACACAGATTGGCCACTGCCCAGGTGCTGAGGCATGTTTCCAGAGGTGCAGGGAAAGACCTGTCCTCAAAGCTCCCTCCCTCAACCAGCTCCAAGGCCGGCCAGAAATTCCATCATTCAGAGCTTCCATCTTTGTCTTTTTAAAATGAAATACCCCTGGGGAAGAACTTTAAGCCTTATTAGCCAACTCTATCTCAGCATGAACCAATTTATCAGGTCCTCTCCAGAGAGAACAACAGCAGAAAGAGTCGAGTGTACCAGGCACCTGGAGGAGGGACAAAGGGCGGCTTCCGTGATGTGATCTTAGGATCTTGTCAAGGACGGAGGCAGTAGGTTCCTGAGACTCCTCCTGAATGAAGCTCAGGCAGGTGCCCCAGGCATCAGACCAGCCTCAAACAGCCCTCCTGAGGCTGTTACCTGCATCCTGGGAGCTGCCCAGGCCTGGGAAGGAGCCGCAGCCCCACTTGCCCCACTGATGAACGCTATCAGGCCCAATGTCTTCAAATATTGAAAGCCAGTCACTAGGTAAAGGAGTCAATTGGTCTAGAGGGCAGAACTAGGATCAGTGAGCAGCAACATTTTGTTTCTTTCCTTTTTTTAAAACTGTATAAAATAATGGCTTTCAAACAATCAGAGCCACTCAAAAACAGAGTGTGTTGGCTTGGTGGTTAGTGAGTCTTGTGTTGGTAGAAACACTGGAACAGAGGATGTTGTAAGAGGGTCCGAAGCTTTGGGAGGTCTGACTGGAACAACACTAAGGCCCCTCCCTATGACCACCCGCCCATTTCTCAGCGTCCCTTTGGAGAGGCGCTGGGTGTTCCGTCCCTTCCTCTGAAGGAGGACGACAGAGAGAGCAAGAATCAGGAACAGGGGTCAAACTCTACAGATGGAGCCCTGAAGCAGGAAAGGATTTGGGCAAGCTGGGAATGCTGGGCTTTTCTTGGTTTCCCAACTCAGCCTGGCTTCTGGAAGGTTTCTAACAGGGGTGCCTCAAATGTTACTACCCCAGCCCCAGCCCCTAGCCGGAATACCATCCTGGCCCCACCCCTGCCCCCCACTGCCTCACCTCCGAAGGTCTTCAGGTGGGGGCACCCCTCGGCGCAGGTTCACCCACTGCTGAAGCTGGTTCATGGAGCTCTTGCGCTGGGCGATTTTGTCGGGGTTGGCGCGTTGAGGGAAGCTCCGCCGATGTCCCCCACTCTCTGAGTCCTGAGGCGGGAAAGCTGTGCTCCCTGGCCGGCTTGGGGAGCTATACTGCCAGCCATTGGGCTGGGCAGGCCGCTCCCCACGCCCTGGGACCCTTGAGCCCTCGGGATATGGGCTGCCCGGCTCTGAGGCTGGCCCTGGTCCAGGCTGGAGGCCATTGGCTTTCACCAAAGGCTCACTCTTGACATCGGGCCTCTCCGGCCTCCTCTCTGCCTTCTCGCAGCCTCGGCCATCACCCTCCCCTCGAGTCTTGGCCTCTGGTTCAGGCTTGGGGAGGCTGTTGGGGGGTGGCTGGTGGTGGTGTTTGCTGGGTGGGATGTTCTCTGAGTCTGGCTTCTCATGGCTGCAGGATGCCAAGGGAGACGCTGTAAGTGACTCCAGCCCAGCATGGAGTTGGGCAGGGGTGGTAGACTGGGAAGGAGGAATGGAGTGGAGAAGGATGGGCAGGAAGGTAGCGATGGAAATAGGACTCAACAAATGACAATTCCGTTTCCTCAATCCCACTGTTTTATCTTCCAGCTTGAGCAATTATCATAAAACATAACCCAATCCTGCCTACACACCACGTGCTCACTCTGCCCTCCAGGTCTTCATGGGTCACTCTCCGCTCCCCTCTGTGGACCTGCCTTCAGCCCAGCCTTTAAGCTGTGACCAAGAATAATCTCACCAGACCTGGGCTCCTCTGTAGTCTGTCCAGGGTGTGTACTCTCCCAAGTTAATAGCAACCGTCTTTGATGCCCCAGCTACAGGTCACCCTCTCTCCTATGGAAAGTTACTCAATTCCATGAGTCTTGGCTCCTCAACGGCAGGAGGGTATGACAATACAACCCCTCACAGGACAGGACTGCCGTGAGACCAAACACAACAGAGGCTGTGGCCTCAGACTTCAGAGGCAGAGAAACATGCTCATTCCCTTCTCCAAAGCAAGCTTCTCCAGGACTGACTTCTGCTAGAACAGAAGCTCCCTGAGCAGGAGCCTGTCAGACTTTCCTCCTCTGTGTCCCCAGCACCCGGCACAGTGCCTGACATGCTTATGTATACGGTAAATACTTATGAGATGAAGGCCTGAACTTCGGGAAGTATGCCTCTTGGTTGAAGCAGATTTGGAATCTTGTGACAGTGTTCTCCTGATAGCTTCCCAAATACAACATATTCAAGCATCCTTGTCGGAACACTGTTGTAAACATGTCTACGACTCGTGACTAGACTTGGAGTCTATGTTCTAGATCCCCGTGAACATCCAACTTGGATTCAATACCCAGTTCAAGTAGAGACGGGTGCTGAGACTGGATGACTGCCACATACTGAGTGTTACCACACACCCAGCATCCTACATATACTACTCAGTCCTCACACAACCCTGTGAGGTAGCAGTATAATTGCTGTCTTTGAGGAGAGGAAACTCGGGTTCAGAGAGGTTAAACAACTCACACTGAGGTCACATTGTGGGCAAGTGGCCAAGTTGGGATTTGAACCTGAGTCTACCTTCCTCCAAAGGCTGTGTGCTTAACATGCACAGCTGAGAAAAACAAGCCAATGACCCTGGTTTTGGGCTTCTGGCCAGGCCCCGATGGAACCTGGCTTCTCTCTTGGCCTCTACCAACTCAGAGAGAAGAGGAGGTGGTGGTCAGGGGAGGAGAGAAGAAAGGCTCGGAAATCACAGCCAGGCACCCTTCATGTTCTCAGAGGTTCAGACGGCACAGGGTTGGGTACTTCCTCGCACCTCCTCTTTCTCTAGTGCTTCCCAGTCCAAGCCCAGTACCCAGGCACTCACTTGTGACGCACAGCTTGGGGCACCGACTTCTGGGCTGGGGGGATCTGTACTCGGGCAGCCTCCCCCATGGCCTGAATCCAGGCTTCCTGTTCCTCGGGGCTCTCGGCACTGAAGAAGTAGGTGCGGACGCCGGCGTGCTCAGCCTGTGGGGAGAGGCATTGCGTGGAACTGGCCCTGGCCTCGTCCACCCAGCACACAGTCACCTGCAGGGAGAAGACACCCACACCCACAGAACGAGTGGTCAGGCAGGCTGTTCCTTGACCTGCAGCTCTTCTCCCCACATGGAGCTCAGGAACAAGGTGAAGAGGATGGGCCACAGCTCTCAAGTGCTCCAGCTAGTACCCAGGTATCTGCCTCAGCTTGCTCTGCAGACACCAGTAGGCACCCCAAGAGCCAGGAAGCTTACCTGACCCATCGGAGGTGATTATAAGCAGGGAGGACAATTACCACACCCGCTCTCCTATCAAATTCCATCTTTGATTTGAAGGGCAATTACACAATGTCTGGGCGGGATGCCCCCCCCCCCCGCCCCCCGGGCACATGCCAATCTTGACCCCAGCTTGGCTTCTAAGAAGCTGGCACTGTCTCTTCCATGCACAGAGACAGCCAGGCCTCTATCTCCGTGGGCATGCAAGGGGCATGCAGAAAGTCAGAGCACACTACCTAGTTGGCGGCCGCAAACAGGCACGGCAGGCGGGAACCCAGAAGAGAGCTCCTGTCCAGAGGAGGGGTCCTCACACGGTCAGAAGGAGGAGAAGCAGAGAACAGGTCAACCAAACACCAGAGGGAGAGATAGAAGACGACATGGCAGGAATGTTGAGGAGCAGAAGGAAGTGGGGAGCTATTGAGACTGTCCCCCTCGGTGTCACCAATAGGACGACAGCACCCAGCAATGCCCAGTTCAGCCCATAAGATGGGGAGAAAAGAGCTTGCACCAACTGAATTTGGGCTGGTGGTGGAGAGAAGTCAGGGCCTCCCAGTGCTACTTCCAGCTCTGTTCTGACCAGTTCTGCAACTGCAAACAGCTTGTGATTTTCCTCTCTCCTTCATTGACACGTCTGTTTAATGGGGGAAACTCAAGGTTCTTAAGCCACAAGGAAAAGATGCTCCAGAGTAGACTCTTTCTGGGACCTCAGCATACACCCCAGGTGAGATCTTCAATCTCCCAGAATAGCAGGCAGCCTTGTTTATCCCACTCAACATGAGAGATCCACAAGTGATTAAGAACCTCACCTTGGCCTCTGACCCCTAGGTGCTAAAACCTGGGTCTCTGGGGGTTGGAAGGATAGAAGACAGGGCCCCTCTGACCACACCCCAGGGCTCTCCTAAGCAGCATCAAATCCACAGCCTCCAAGTGCTTTCCCAGGAGACCTTCACCCCACTGCAGCACCTCTCCCCAGCACGTGACTTCTCTCTGACAGGAGCCATTACCCAGTGAGCATGCGTCCTACTTCTCTAGGGGCGGGCATGGGCCTCCTTCCTCTGGATCCTGCCAGTCCCCACTCCAGCAGGGGCCCAGCATGTGGACGGAGGCATGGAGGTGCTGACGAAAAGCCAGTGACGCTGTAAGAAGGCAACTGCACAGTGACATGGAGACCAGGGGCCCAGGCAAGCCCTCGGGTGGAGAACACAAGGTTAGCGTAGAGGAGGGAGGCACAGGCAGGACTCATGGGAGTGTCCGGGGGCAGGTGGGCACGGGCAGCAAATGAATGAATTTGCTAAGCACCTATGAGCATCCTGTGTGTGCAAAGCTCCTCTGTAGGCACCAGTCACAAGGAAAGCAAAGCCATGCTCTCTGCACTTGAGGAGCTCATGGGACACGGGAGAGAGCAAAGGCACAGGCACAACTGCCTGTGACAGGGAAGGCAGAGGGCCTGGGAAGACAGGGCACTTGAGGGCGAGCAGAGGAGTCATCAGCTGGCACATGAAAGGGGGCCAGAGAACTGAGGGAGGAGCCCCAGAGGGCGGGTTAGGAAGAGGTTAAGGCTTCAGCAGGAGGCTGGGCAGGGACAGCACCCGCTCATTATTAGCCATCCAAGCATTTGGCCTGGTGGCCATCGCGGGACAAGCCTCCCATCTGTCTCAGCTCTCCTCCCTTCCCCGGGGAAGGGCCACTGAATGGCCACAGTGGTAACCTTGGCGGGCCTCTGAGCACAGCCCTCATAGTTGGGTTTTCAAGAGCCAGTGTGCTCCCCGGTGGAGGGGAAGGAGGAGTGCGCTTCAGGGCACAAAAGGAGAGCTGGGGCTTACAGCGGGTGGGTGTCAGTCCCTCGGGAAGGTGATCTGTCGCCTGATGGCAGCACAGCTCCGAACCGGAGTGTGCATGTGTCTCTGCACAGGTCTGAAGGAGAGGGTGAGCCAGGGTGTTGAACTGTGTGAGTGTACGTGTGCATTGTGTACAGCAGGACTGTCTGCTGTTGGTTAAACAGCCTGTTCCTATTTCCCCAGCTAGAACCCGGCTCCCTGGAGCCAGAGTTTTATTATTGTTCATTCACATCTCTCTCAGACAGGTCCCTTGGAGGCTAGAAACTAATTATGTGCCACAGAAGTCCCTCCTTGTTACTCGGAGCACCACCTGTGTATACTGCCCACCTCTTTTCTGTGGCCCGGTGACCAGAGGTTGAAGGACACCAAGGGGCAGAGTCTCTGAGGCCCTGTGAGCTCGGACCCTGGCCTGGTGGGACCTGCAGGTCCTACTGTTTAACACTATAGCCTTAGGTTTTCAGGGTCTTGGACGGCAATTCTCAACTGGGGGAGACGGGGCTTTGTTCTAAGAAGATGCATGGTCGATATCATAATTTTATATTTGGAAAATAGAAGGGAACCTATGGTCTTTGCATCATAAAGTACAAAAAGGGTATGAGATTTTTATCATTTTTAATGGGTCATGAATTTTTAAATGTGGAAAAACCCTGGCCTAGGATGAGCCAGCTGCAGGCACGTCTGATGGGTGAATCCCCCAGGGGCTCCGAGGACATGGAGCCCAGCAGGCAGGTGAGGCCCATCTTCTTGCAACTTGTTCTTTCAAACTGGCATCTATGTGAGGTTTGCCTCTCTTGACTGTCGTGAAACTCAACTCCTAATTTTCTCTAGAGATTGAAATTTGAGTAAGCTTCAATTTCAAACTGGGGGTCCAGTTTCCCAGGCCCAAGGTGGGGAGGAAGCCTTTCCAGAAGGGATCTCAGAACCCTACCAGCCCGCAGCTCTGCCTCTGTTGCGAGGGATTTCCCAAGCGCCAGGTGCCAGGCAGAGGGTCCACTGGCTCAGGACGTAAGTATTTCTCCCCCAGAATTTACCACTAAAGCACATCTCTGCTGGCCCAGCCTGGAAAGAATGACCCACCCGATGCCCGAGAAAAGAGGAGGGGTTCCCGGCATAGCCTCACCTTAGCCTTACAACAGCCTGCTCCTTCCAGCATCACACTTGGGGTTCCTCAGGGCAGTGGCCCTGGATCCTTCTCCACTCCCGTCTGCTCCAGAAGAGCAGGCCGCCGCCCCCTCCCACCTGGAACAGGAAGGCCAACTGACCTTAAAGGTGTGTTTTCGGCTGATGTTGTCTGATGGCTGCACGGCAGCCACTCGAAAGCTCAGGAGGGGTATGCTGCCCAGGATGCTCTCCTCCTTCTCATCTGCCAGGAAAACAGAGGCACAGGTGAGATGTGTGTGCACGTGTGTGCATGTGCAGGGGGAGGGGAGGGGAGGGTGTCAGCCCTATTATGACAAATATTTGTTGCTCATCTACTGTTTGTCAGGCACTCAGGGCAACCGCACACAACCACACAGGTGTGCTCTGCATGATGCCGAGAGGCACGGTCCCCTGGTGTGGGGCGCTGGCGAACGTGGCGGCCCTGCAGACCCTGTTCTAGACACTGGGTCTACAGAGGTGAACGAGGGAGCAGCAGCCCCACCTCAGGGAGCCTACATTCAGTACACAGCAAACACACACATTCGTAGTCTGAACCCAAGAAGCTTGCACTTGCAACTGCTCTCCTATCTACAGAGCCTCTCCAAGCAAGACAAGTCCAGCAGGGACACATGGAATGGAGTAATAATGGACAGGGCGTGGCAGAGTGGATGGCTCCTCCAGGTAACCGTTTCTAAGGTTCTCCCAGGCACCCGGCAGCTGGCTTTGTCCTCACCTGATGTAGACCCTCCCCTTCACGGTCCGTGTCTACACAGGAAGACATGCCCCTGTACGGCCTGCTGGCCCTCTGCTCCCTGGATCAGGCTAACAATCAGGCTGTTATAATTCATCCTGCATCTCCAAAAGAGCCTGATGGATTAACGAGTCAAGTCCCCAGCTGTCAGCAAGAGGCCGGAAAGGGCAGGGGTACTCTGTGGGACAGATGGGGGCCACTATGAGGCTACGGCAAGACCCTCCTTACTTCCCAGGGATAGCTCTTTATTCCCTGGGCTGGGGACTGTGTAAAACCCTCAGTTGGGGTTCAGGAGAAATCCCTTAGGGGTTACAAACTCCACTGGCTCCCCTTCTCCTCCTCATCATCACCTGCAGAAGATACTTGGCCCAAGGTCCAGCTCCTGTGCAGACTTCAGCATGGTGCCCAGAGATACGGCTAAGTCGAAGGAGCAGGAGGGACCTGGGGCTGGGACCCAGGGCTTCTTCAGAAAAGCAGAGGCTGTCATCCCCTGGAGGAGATGGGCCCCTGCCTGGTAAAAGCCAGGCCAGTGTTTAGAGGGTCTTCTGAGACCATCTCTCGGTGGATAGTGAGCCCCATCACAGTGCCCCTTGATTTTACAGCTTTTTCAGGTTCTACCCTCACACCAGTCCCCAAGTCTCTCCTCTGCAGAGATCCTGGCTTTCCTCCCGTTTCTCACACTCTGGCCCAGTGCAGCCCTGTATCCCAGGGCCCAGCCTAGGCAGACGCTTCTTCCCCAATCTTTGGGTCTCCTCTGTGACTGGCCCCTGCAACTGCAGCACCTTCCTGATTTCTCTCCTCTGGGTTCAGGTGGCAGCCACTCAGGGCACAAGGACAGCAGCGTTCTGGAGGGTCACTGGGTACAACCTTTGTTTGCCAAAGTTAATGATTCACTGAATTGCTCCCAAGAGGCCCAGAGAAATCAGGAGTCTGCCATTCCCAGGGCATGGAGGAAAAGGAAACAGCCTCTCCTGCTAAAATCATTTTACCCTCTCTCTTCTTCGCACCCATGCCTATTTCCTTGCACTGCATCAGTGTGACAGGACCATCACTGTCATCAGTCCTCACTAGTTCCCTTTGTGCCCTCCTTGACACAATGTCGCTGTATATACAGTTGGCCCTCCGTATCCGAGGGCTCTGCATCCGCGGATTCAACCAAGAGCCGACCAAAAGGCCGACATGGTTGCGTCTGTACTGAACATGTACAGACTGTTTTTTCTTGTCATTATTCCCTAAACAATACAGTATAACAACTATTTACTTAGCATTTACATTGAATTAGGTAGTATAAGTAATCTAGAGAGGATTGAAAGTACACAGGAGGACGTGCGTAGGTTATATGCAAACACTACGCCATTTTATATAAGGGATTGAGCATTGCGGATGTTGGTATGTGTGGGAATCCTGGAACCAATCCCCTGGATACTGAGGGATGACTGTATTTTCCTTTTTTTTTCATTTCGAGGTAGATCAGCCCTGAGCTAACATCCATGCCAATCCTCCTCTTTCTGCTGAGGAAGACCGGCTCTGAGCTAACATCTATTGCTAATCCTCCTCCTTTTTTTCCCCAAAGCCCCAGCAGATAGTTGTATGTCATAGTTGCACATCCTTCTAGTTGCTATATGTGGGACGCGGCCTCAGCATGGCCGGAGAAGCGGTGCATCGGTGTGCGCCCAGGATCCGAACCCGGGCCGCCAGTAGCAGAGCGCACACTTAACCGCTAAGCCACGGGGCCGGCCCCTAGGGATGACTGTACTTTAAAAATAACTTCCTAGAGGCTGCTGTACCAAAGTTATCAGATCTTTGCCCTCCTTTGTTTTGTTTGAGTGGGTAGGGAGGGAGTGTGGAGTGGGCAGAGGGGGTAGAAGCTGGGGATGTGTGTTCTTCCTCGTTGACAGAGCACCTACTGTGTGCCATGCACTGCTTTAGGGGCTGCGGACACAGCAGTGCACACAACTGACAAAACTGCTGCAGCACGGATGGGACCGTACACACCGGTGTGCAGCCAGAAGACGAACACACAAGCTCCAGTCGGTAGGTGACCTGCTGGGAGTGACTGGGGCCCTTCTTCTCCCTCTTCCTTTTTCTCCCTCCTCCCCTAGGACTTTGGCATCTGTCATTGACTGTCTCCTTCTCCCAGGGTATCATGAACCAGGGCCCAGAACTCTGCCTGAAACCTGGCAGGCCCTCAGTGATACAGTAGAATGTGAAGTGAGATAGTGAGTGTGTGTATGTGTGTGTGTGTGAATGAGTGAGAGACTGTGTGAGTGACTAAGTGTGTAACCAAGTGTGTGTGAGTGACTGAGTGTGTGAGTATGTGAGCACATGAGCTTTGTCTTTATCTCACTGTCATGCCCACTGGTGCTGGAGACCACAGTGGGGAAATCTGCACCCCCACAATGTCCATCCAAAGCAATGCCCAGTGATCTGGCAGAACAAGAAAGAATGTGGGCCCAGGGACGAGCTCACCTTTATAGTAGAAGAGGCAGCGATCCACCAGGACGAACCAGCGCTTGTTCCACTGCTTGACCCCAGAGCTGGCCTGCAGGGCACATGGACAGAAAGACAGGAGGGGCTGTGAGCTGGGCGGTGGGAAGGGGGGGTGGATGCAGTGGAAAGGTGCTGCACTAATTATAAGGACCTCCTAACAAGTGGCAGCAACCCCCTTGAGACCTCAGATGCAGGGAACTGACATTAGATTATTGCCTGTGACCTTCCTGTTCTGTCATTCTTGTGTCTCAGTGCCTCCCCCAGGAAGATAAAAGGGAAAAAAGAAGAGCCAGAATGTGAGCAGAAGACAGGCAGGGATAGTGGCAAGGTCAATCTGGGGAGAACTGGTGGAGCCCTAGAACCCACCCCTCCCGTAGCAAGAGAGACCTGCTGAGAATGAGCCAGTGAGTTGCTCCCATTGGGTTGGTGACCCAGCATATTTCAAAGTCGTTGCATCTGCCCATCAAGAGATCTGGCTGGGTTCCCACATTTGACACTAATTTTTCTGTGTGATTTTGGGAAGATACTCAACTTCTCTGAGGCTTTATAAAATTAGGAGATTCATTCACAGAGATATACCAAAAAAGGGCATGGAAGGACTTACCAAAATACACACGGGCTCGTATAAATACAGAGGAATTACAGTGCTATAAGGAGAAAGTAGTGGTTATGGTGGGCAGAATGGCAGAGGAGGCTTCACCTGTTTGAAGAGCCAGCCCGCCTTGGTGACAGGGGCATTGGGGTTCCGCTTCATGGAGTGTGAGCGCTTGCCAAAAGCGATGGCCTTGCGGGATGTTCGGGTTGCCTAGGCAGACAGAGAGAGAAGCTGGCCTAACTCGCTCCCTCTCCTCCTTTCTGCCCAATCTGCAAGGGGAGCTACCTTTGGTGGGAGCTATATCTCTCCAGGGTTACCCCTGGGGTGTCCTCACGCCCAGAGGCCCAGGTGTGAATCTTGGATCTGCTACTAACTCGAGGGCATGGCCTTTCAATTCTTTGGCTCTTTTTCTTATCTCTAAAATGGGGCTCAAGATAATAGTCCTACCTGTCTCACAGCAGTGTGGGTTTTTTTGTGTTTTTTGAGGGAAAAGTAAGATTTTTCATTTCATTCCTGGCCTATCATTTTTTTTACTGCCCTCACTCCCTACTTCTTTTATAATGCTTTCTGGAACCCTTCAACTGCAAGTAAATTCTGACATCATCATCATCTCAGAGTCCTGTTCATTCCTGAATGTCCAACACACCACAGAGCAGGGAGGACACATGGATGTTCTCCTAGCTCCTAATGCCACATGGACACTGTCAGTCTTCCACATTCTGGCAACAATCTCTCTTGAAGCACCACTGATCTTCCACTGCTCAGCCCTTCTCATCACTATCAGCTTCTAGATCATTCTTTCACAGTCGAAGGATTTTAATATCAGTCACCCTCTTCATTCTAAGTCTTGCCATCACTGTGGCATTGTTCTTCAGGATGATGCATCCAGTGCCGTAATTTTATACTACCTTGATGTCCTCAACTCCAAAATCCTCCCCTTCACCCCAGCAACTCACTTCCATGGCTACACCTCAGACCTGGTCAGCACCCAAGCCCCTTCACTGCTAACATCTTCAATTCTAATATTCCCATTTTATGATCACAACATTCCATCCTTTGGTCTTTGTCATTCTGTTACTCAACTACACCAGCTTTTCTACTCCACTGGGATCCCCAGCTCCTCGATCCTTCCCTTTTTTCCTGGATCCATCAGCTACCTCCTGGTTTTAGTTATTTCCCTACAAAGCCTAGTTCCCTGGTGGAGTAGATCAACTGACTCTCAAACACCCCATCATCTTTCTGCTTCATCTTCTCTAAAACTCAAAATCCCAGATTAGTCCAACTATCCACCTTCCCTGCACTCACAGCCAGATCATGGTGCTGCTGGAGAAAAATCACACTGCAGGACAGACGAGGCCACCGCAGACCCACGGTCCCCAACCCCAGCTGGGCTCGGCCCCAGATGGCAACTCCACTGCACACCCTCCCAGTTCTCCCAAGCCCTGCAACCTTGCCCTCTGCCCTCCCCACAGTGGACCTGGTCCCTCCTCCACAGAGAAAACTGAGGTTTTCAGACACACACTTCCTCAATTTTACACCCTTTCACCTAGAAAATTACTGCCTGTACCCTTATCTTTGTCTCTTTCCCTCCAATTTCAAAAGAAGAGGAGCTGCCCTCCTCTCCAAGGCTAACACGTCTGACCCGCCATCTCTGAGACTTTGCTCCATCAATAGATAATCTCCTCTTTAGTCTGTCTTCAACTTTTCCTTCTCCACTGGCTTCTCCTCAGCAAACATGTGGTGCAGGTCTCTCTTAAAGCATCTGTCTCTGTCTCTCTCTGTCTCTCCCTGTCTCTCACGCACACTCCCGACACACCTGAATGCCCCTTTAACCATACATCTACTGCCCACTGTCAGGTAATATCTTCCCTCCCTTCCCTCTCTCTCTCTTCAGGGACAGGCTACTGGGAACAGTCCCGACTTCCTCTCCTCCCATTTACTCCTAGACCTCCTCCACCACTTTTCTGAAATGGGTCTTGCAACGTCATTGAATTAAGGCTGCTCAGTCCTTGACCATTCTAAAGCACTGGACTGTATTAACCTTTCTGTCCTTCCTGAAACTCATCTTGTGGTTTCTGTGACAGTACTCTTCCTTTTCAACACCCCTTCTGTGGCCCCACCTTCTCAATCTCCACCTCTACTCTAAGTGTTGATGGACCTCTACCAAACTTTTTTTATTCGTTTTTCTCATTATACATTGTGCCCACGTATCTCATCTATACCCACTGCCTCAACTACCAGCAATATGCTGAAAATTCCCTAATCTCTGTCTCTCTCCTAGGCCCAGTCCATTCTGTAACTGGTTGTCCAACCAGGATTAAATAAGTACAAAGCCAAACTCATCCTCTTTCTAACCAAACCTGTTCTTCAGTATTTCTCATTTTAGTGAATGGTACTATAATCCACCTAGTTGCCCAAACCAGCACTCTGAACTGCCTCACACTGTTCCTTCCTTCCTCTATTCCTTTATACAATCATTTAGGCAGGGCTGACCTCTCTATCTTCCTAATAGCTCTTAAATCTGTTCTTTCCTCTCAAATTCTACTGTTGTTGCCTCCCAGGTTGTCATCTCTTCCTGCTGTTCACCCTCTGCAATGAACTAAGGTTATCTTTCTAAAACACAACATAATCACATCACTCTCTTGCTTAAAATTTCTTACCGCCTCTCATCACTTAGAAGAGAATTCAAATTCTTCAGCACACACAAGAACGGGTCTGTAAGATCTGGCTGGGCCCATAACCCACCTCCTGGCCCTCTATCAGACAGGCCGTGCCCTGCCTGGTCATGCCAGACTCCTGGCAGTTCTCTCCTACCCCCTAGGCCTCTGCCCACCTTGCTCTCCCATGGGGGTGGGGGAGCCTGATCTCCCTTGTCCACCAACAAATCCCAACTCATCCTTTAAAGCCTAGTGCAGGGCCCCCCTACTCCATGAAACCTCCCTAATCCCCTAGAGCAGTTAGCTCCTCCTTCCTCTCTGGACATTTTTATAGTCTAAAACTTGTCATACTGTGATAAAATGTTGGCCTTCCATCTCCTTCACTAGACTGGGAGCTCTTTTCAGGGGGGAACTTTTGTTTTATTCATCTCTTTATCACCAGAGCCTAGCCAGGTATACAGCTATAATAAGCACTCAGTAAATACTTGTAGAAGGAAGGAAAAAAGAAATTGGAGTTTATTATAAAGTACCCACCAAACTGGGAAATAAATTTTCTGAACTTTGCTAGTAAAAATCCGCATATAATGGCTGAGATGCGTCATCTGAAGAAGTCATCCACCACCCTAAGAATATGCAAATCCCTAAATCTTTTCCTCTCCTCTCAGTCCATCATCTGTCAGAGTTTCCCTTCCTCCCAGTAGTTCACTCCTTCAGCCATTCTCCTCCAACCCTTCAATACTCCAGCCTCTTTATCTTTCCGCCACAGCTTCCCAGCAACCTCCCGCTTAGGTCAATGCCCCCACCTGCTGCCCCTGCTTTCACAGCCAGGCTATGAGCATTGCTGGAGGAAAACCACACACGCCTGGGGACTGGAGCCACACAGATTCAGTCTATGACCTCAGATGACCCTGCGATAATTATCGGGCAGCATTTCCTACGTCACTAGTTGACTGCTGTTCCTGTTCTCTAAGCCTCCCAATGCCTCTCCATCCACCCCACTCCTCTCAGCAGAAAACCCTACCTCCTACTTCCCTACAAAAGTTGAGGACATCAGGTGGGGATGTCTTTAACTTCCTAGACCCCACCCCAGCCCCACATACCTTTCCTATGCAGTCTCAGGAAGAGCACCCCCTCCCTACCTGGCCCCTGACTGCTCCTGTCTGCACAGAAGGTGGCTCACTGGCTACCCTCTGTCTCCTGAACCTCTCTAGCTACTGGGTTATTCCTCTCCTGCCTCCAACAAAACAAAAAGCACAAAGAAAACCTCCCTCCATCTTGCATATCTTCTATCTTCCACCCCCACCCCCATCCCTCATTTTCCCTAACAGTCAAATTTCTTTAAAAATATTTTTTTGAAACATTTCAGAAAAGTAGGGAATAAATCACCACTACGTGTTGGTATGTTTCCCTAATAAAACATGACAAATAGAGCTGAAACACCCCTTGAGGCCCTCCCCAACCTCATTACCTTTTCTTCCTCCCTAGAGGCAACCCACTGACCCAAAATTAGTCAGCCTGTCCGTGGTTATATGCTCGTACTGCAAATTTATCTATAAAAGTGTGATGTTGCTTTTCATGTTTGTACATTTTACACAAATGATACATTTTTCATATTCTGCAACTTGCTTTTTACTCAACATTATGTTTTTAAGATTTACCCTTGCTAATCATATAGCTCCGGTCCATTTTAATTTTTGGAGAGTCCTCCATTGTATGGCTATACCACCATTCATTGTCTAGTTTCTCAGAAGAAAGTTTCTGCTCTTTATTGTTTCTACCTCTCCCATCTCCTCTTTCACCCCCTCCAGCTTGTCTTCTCCCTCATCGCACCACTGGAACTGCCCCTGTTGGGTCTCCAGTCACCACAGCGTTGCTAAACCCCATAGACACTTTCAGCACTTATCTTACTCGACCTCTGTGCAGCATTCTTCTCTGGAGTACCTCTTCCTCCTGAGGATCTCTTCCTTCCTCCTCCCTTTCTGAGCTCTCAACTGCCATGTCCTTCATGAGTTATTTTTCTTTGGCTGTCTCCCTAAATCAGTGCTTCTCAATGAGGGCAGGGCAAATTTGTCCCACAGGGGACATTGACGATGTCTGGACACATTTTTGGTTGTCAGAGGGTGGGTGCTACTGGCATCTAGTGGGCAGAGGCCAGGGATGCTGCTCAACATTCTACAATGAAAAGATAGTCCCACACCACAAAGAATTATCCAGCCCCAAACACTAACAGTGCCAAGGTTGAGAACCCCTGGCCTAGATGTGGGTCTTCTACAAGCTTCTTGTCTGAGCCCTCTTCCCTTCCCCCTCTTCACTCCTCCTGCATCACCTCCCCTGCTCTTTGAAGCCTGCAGAAACAGCCATGCAGGCTAATATACATTTCCTCTGATTCCTGCCCAACAGCTGGCCTTGGGGGCTGGACTCACGCGGATGCTAGGAGGCTCTGGAGGGACCTCAGACACCATGTTGTGGTTGGATCCGTCACTGTTGGTGGTAGCTGGGCGTTTCCCACCCGCTTTATTGGACATGTCCAAGGCCGATCTGATTTCAAGTTGACCAGAAGGGAGAAAGAGACTAGTCAGAACCAAGAAACAATGGAGACTACTCATCCCTTTTCTGCATGCCACGGCCCATTGTTCCAGCAGCAGCCACAATCAGATCCCCTAATGCATGAAGAGGTCATCTCAGTGGCTCCCTCAGCTCTTCTGAGACTATATACCAGTAATCCTGGACATTTTCTCCTTTCTTTCCTGCAAATTTATTTAAAAAATCTAGACCCTAGGACTCAGGGACTTCTTTCCCTTCTAATTTAAAAGATACAATGGCCCAGCTGACTACAAGATTCATTTAATTATTTTTTTTTCTTCATTCACTGAGCCAAGATTAATAGAGGAGTTAGCATTGGCTTTCATGGTTACATCAGATTCCCTCACCACTCTTGCCAAGGCCCCTGATATGCCAACCTCAGACCTGTCTCAGTCCTTTAGCTCAACCTATGGGAAGGACCAACCTGAGATCTGCTAGAGTCCGGGAAAAGTGGATGAGGTGTCAAGCCAGATGGGTATCAGAAGCTTCCAGTCCTCATAGCTGAGGTGAGTGAGCCTAAATCCCTTCTGCTCTGCCCCTCCCCCACCCCATTCCTTCCCTTTCCCAGCTGCAAAGTGGCAGTGGGATGGTGGTGAAGGTTGGAAAGGCCAAGCAGCAAGTGGTGGCAGACATACGTTTTCAAGTCAAATTTTTTGTTTTCCTCTGGGACCTGGCCAGTCACTGGGTGTACAAACGTGTTCCGTCTTTCATTGTGGCTGTAGAGGCAAGAGAGAGAGAAGTGTGGTCAAGATGAAGGCAGAGACATAAACCAAAGGGTAGACGGGCCCTGGGCACTGACAGGGACGGGTGACCACAGGGGAGCTTACCCGTCTGTCCCCCAGCGGGATCTAGGAGAGGCAAGAGGGAGGACTGGGCTGTAGAAGCAGCAGCTCCAGGCAGCGGGGGGTGGGGGGGGTGGGGAAGACACCTGTCACTAGTTAGTGTTAACTACTTCCTAGAGATCCCTGAGGCTGGAAACAGCCCGACTTAACCCTCTCAGTGGTCATCCTGGGCGTGTATGTGGCTAGGGTGGGGAGGGGACTCCATAGTCAAGATTTCACGTGTGGGAGGTTCTCTCCCAGGGACAACTACCAGTGCTCCACATAAAAACTGCTCACTCATTATTTGCTGAAAGAATTCTCTGGTGACCTTGGACTCCTTCCTCTCCCGCTTTATGTTCCATCTCTTTTTTTAAACGGAATGAGAGATACAGAAACTCCGTTCTTGAGCTTGGGCTGGGACCCATCCACACTCTGAGTCCGGGGTCTCCCGTCTAAGGGCTACGTGATGTAGCCAAGACCTCAGGAGCTGTCAGGCATTGAGGTTAGCGCTGGCACAACAGTCAGATCTAATCAAGGGATGCTGTGGGCCAGGAGTGGGGTGGGGTGTTGTGAGGACAGCCTGCGGGAAGCAGTGGGGAGCATGGGCCAGGGGTAAGGTCTATGCAGAGGCAGATGGGGAGCAGTCTTGTGGATGCTCCTTTGGGAAGTCCTGCCGTGGCTCTTCTGGCTGACCGAATGTCAGATAGTTCCCTGGTGGCTCTCTGGCAAGGTGGGGAGGAAGGGCAGCAGATAGAGCTGGTGCAGTGGGTTTCAGCCACAAACGGCAGCCATTTGAGATAGATTCTGCAAGCAGGGGACCACCTGGCAAGAATGTTGTAGGAGATTCAAGCATCCAGGCAGTGGGGGGCTGGAATAGTTTTAAGGTCCTCTTTACCCATCCTTCTTGAGAGAGACTGCGAGAGCCCAGAGCAGGCTCAGTCGACCCCAATAAGCAGGCACTTGGACAGAGCCTGCTGAGTCTGCACTGAGCTTGGGGGTCCTAACACTGGGCCACAGGTGCACTCCCATAGCAAAGAGCTGGTGGTCTGCTTGGCAAGCAGCAGATCAGCTAGCACCAGAGGAAAGAGATCTTAGCTCTGTCCCTTCAGCTGCATGAGAGAAGTAAAATAACTTTTTGGAGAGCCCCTTTCAATAGCCCAGGACACATCCCAGCCCTTGGGCTGTCTGCTGAAGCTAAAGATAATATCAAAGGGTGTTTTTGTTTTTTTTGTGTGTGAGGAAGATCAGCCCTGAGCTAATATCCATGCCAATCCTCCTCTTTTTGCTGAGGAAGACCGGCCCTGAGCTAACATCTATTGCCAATCCTCCTCCTTTTTTTCCCCCTTTTTCTCCCCAAAGCCCCAGTAGGTAGTTGTATGTCATAGTTGCACATCCTTCTAGTTGCTGTATGTGGGACGCGGTCTCAGCATGGCCGGACAAGCGGTGCGTCGGTGTGCGCCCGGGATCTGAACCCGGGCCCCCAGTAGTGGAGCGCGTGCACTTAACCGCTAAGCCAAGGGGCCGGCCCGTCAAAGGGTGTTTTTCCATTTTCCAAACCAGTTATGTTCAGATCGAACCCAAAGACACGTAGGATAGCAGCACAGCAAGAGGTGGCTACAGCCTACATGGAAATCTGGGTTTTGGAGCCTGGGCTTGCCGACCAGGACCCTAAATCTGGCCAGCGTCCACCAGGCCTGGGTTCTAACTCTTAGCACACTGATAACCCACTCCCCACTTCTCAAACTTTATTCCCTTCTCCCTCCCAGGTCCAACAAGGATGCTCTCCTCAACTTAACTGCAGGGGATCTTTACAAGGAAGAGTGGCTGTTTTTACTCACCCTCATCCCTGGCTCTGCCCCACCTAGGGGTCTGGCGGGCAGGCAGGCAGTGACAACCAAGGTTCCTGAGGTGCCAAGGTCTCTGCTTTTCCCAGTGGCACAGAGCACCTGCCCCCCACCCTCCAGTCCTCTTCTACTCTACATGTTCCCTGAGCTAACTCTGCAGGCACTGGTATAGACACACACACACACAGAAGCATACACACAGTCTGCTGTCAGCAGGCGCAGGTCTTTCAGGGTACAGTGAATTTCTCCCTGCCCCAGACTCTCCTACAAATGACGTCCTCTCTCCATCCTGGCGCTACCAATTTCAAAATAGCCTCCCCTTCACAAGCACTGCAATGCAGCAACCATTGACCTAACTACTCTTCCTTCTCCAGGTCACGTCAGGCAGGCCCCGCACTCTGAAGCCTGGGATCCAATGAGCTGCTAACTCAGCCTGCTCTCACTTAACTTGGTCCACTGTCCATTGAAGAAATTCCTACCTGACCCGTCGATCAGCCCGAAACTTCAACATCTTTTTGGCAGCTCTGTCCCTCGTTTGGCAGCCTCAGAGGACCCGCCAGCCACCCTGCTCCTACCATCCCTCTGAGAAGTAAGTCCTCCGGTCCTGCTCGCGGTGCCGGGGCCGAGCTCCAGGGTGAGCGGGGCTGGCACTGCTGCTTCCCCCTCCTCCTGGCTCCGGCACCAGGGAAGGGGGAGGGGCACTCCCTGGGTGGTAGTAGGGGGTACCCAGGTGCCCTAGGGGGTCTGTGGCTTCCCAGCATTCAGCGGAATGCCACCCGTTAGAGTGCTAGAAGCAGAATAAGCGAGCAGGGGATGAGATCCTCTCAGCTCAGGTCCCGAAGGAGAAAATGCTGAAAGGGAGAGATAGGCGTGCACAGAGCAGGTGTACAACTTGAAGGTAGTCTGACCTCGCTGAGCCAAGGACACGGAGTAGCTGGGTGGCAAGGAGTCTGGGGCTGCGCTCCCATCTGCACGGCAGAAACTCACGCCAGCCCCACCTGCAGGAAGACAGTCCTCCTTGCCTCCTCAACTCCCAGCCAGAACACAGGCCCTTGGGCTGCAATCAACCTTCTTCTCAGAGACCCTTCCACTCCTATGGGCACAAGGGTTAAATGCAGCTCCAGATTCACCTGCTGTTGTTGCTGCTGCTGTGACTGATTCAGTCTCCTCTCTCCGCCTGCCCAGCCTTCTTCTGTCCAGACAGGAGCGTCACGAAGGAGCCTCCTCTGCCGCGTCCCCCTGCATGCTCCTTCGGACGCAGCCCCAGCTTGCTCGCCCTCAGCTTGGGGTAGTCCAGCCGAGGAGGAGCAGGTGGAGCACATGGGCGTGGGTGCTGTGGAGCCAAAGGTGGTGGCAAGGACTCGCTTCTTCACTCTGGTGAAGTTGAAGGAAAGCTTCCTCCCAGAGCTTGTGAGGGAGAGGGCAGCAAAGGGGACTCAGAGGGAGCCACCGTGTGTTTAGTTCTGAAAATATTCCCAGATGCGATATGATCAATTCCAGCTGGCAACTGTCAGATCTGCTCAGGGGCAAGGAGGTTTGCATCGTCGTTAATTCCCCTGAATTCTCCAGAGGCCGAAGATAGTCAAATCTCCCCTTTTCCTTGAGTCTTCCATGTCTGAGGGCCCTTGGACCGCAAGGGCCTTCTGAAGGTCATTTCTTCCATCCCCCGCCTCCAGGCAAACCCGCTTTCGGATCAGTCTCATTAATTGCCTGGGTGGTTTGTAAAGAGTTCTAGCAAAGGAGGCTCCAGACCCCCTGTTACCTTACACTGCTGAGATGTTCTTTTCTCATATCAAATTCCAGTTCCTCTGGCTTTCAATATTATTCCATTTTTGTCTTCAGATGACAGAATCCTTTCTGACCAACGCGGTTCTTTTTAGCAGCACCAGGCATTTTGTTGACATCATAGTCTATTGTTATGGCAATTCTGTGATGTCACAACACACACTGAACGGGAGGGCTAATCTAATTTTGGATTGAGGACAGAACTCCATCAGAGAACAATGCAATCAGTGGATGGAAAAGCAAATGGATGACATTATTATTGAACCATGATGAGACAAGCTGGCCAGCTACAGCAGGGTTCAACAGCTGCTGACATTTAGGCAACTCACCATAAATCCAAAAGGCCAATAGACTCAGCCATTTAGTGGTACTTTTGCAAATGCTTTACCCTGGTGACAAGAGGCTCCTGTTTCCAGACCCCACCGCTCAGTGTCCCTAATCCAGTCACTTGAGCCCTGCGATGGTCATGGAGAGGTGGGCCCTCCCTGAGGTCCGCCTGAGGTCTCTGCCTCTGCACATTGAGTGCCCAACAGACATTTGCTGAACGAATGAGTGAATAAATGAAGGAACAAGAGAAACTCTCCATGCTCTGATTTCATCTTTAACTGCCTGCATTTGGAGTTTGACATTCTATTACCAAGGGCTCCCCCATCTTTGCTCTCTCTTAAAATTAATTACTTCCTCTCCATGAGAGCAGCTCTGTTTCTGCCCCCTCAGCCCCTCACTCAGCTCCCCTGCCTGGCTCCCCCTTGAATAGATAGCTTGGCTTTGATCCATCTTCATTAGGAGGGGAAGAAAATTAAGCTCATCTGCACAGGAGGAGTGGGTGGAGGTGCACTGGGAAAATGAGTTTTCTTCCTCTAGAAGCAAAAATATCCTCTTTCCCTCCAAGCTGAGCTCAGGGGCCTCCCACAGCCTTTGCTTAAGTTGCAAGTTAAATTACTCCTCCCATGCCCAGTGAAGACAGCACGAGGGAGTAGGAACAAAGGCTTAAGTTTTCCCCTGCTTGTTGACAGCTCTGACATCCTCAGGGTTAAGTCAGCACACAGATGCCTAGCTGGGGTTCTTTCCCTTTGCCACTAAACTGCACAGAATGACAGGTTTTCATTTTAGGTTAGACGCCAGGAAGAACTTACCAGCTGTAGAACATTAAAGAAGGGAAACAAAGATATTTTCTCTCTCCTCTTCCCTTTCTTTTGGGATGTTAAAAGGCCTCCATTTCTCAAGGACAATTATGAATATATCTCCAAACGGACCTCTTGAATT